TGAGCAATTGGATTTACTTATGATTGTATCTTTTATTCTCAATAACTAGGTGTACGGGCGGCAAGTGATCTCTATACCACAGGTACTTAAGAACGTCAGCAGCGAAACAGAGGCACAAAAAAACGCAAAGCAAGAATATACGTCGTCTTCAACGACGATCATATCTTTGCACACACGGTGTTCATTTCGTGTTTTGTTCTACACGCTGAATGCAAGACCTCTCATCCAGTATTACGTTAAGCCCTTGGCCACGAGGGAGTTCTCTTTCAAAATCTTCTGGATGTAGCAGTTCGGGGCCAAGTAATTAGGAACAGATTCCGAAGACCAATAAAAATGTACAGGGTTGAAGCAAACGGGCAAGGCCCCAACCGACGGATCTTTCATTCCACTGAGAGAGTGAATGCTCTCTGCGGATCCCGGTACTCTAAAGCCTACATGCCTCTATATTCCATCGCCCTTCCCGTGACTCTCAAGATCTCTGCGTGGTTTCCTCATGGAGCAAGCATGCCATTCATTTACATTTAACAATTCATTTCTTTGGCAAGTCAATTTTGGCTCGACATTAAAAACTTCCCAATGATGGCTAGCGGATCTCAGACTTCATAAAGGGCTCAAGTCTAGTTATTTAACGTCTCCCCTTATATTCGTGTACTGTACTTTACAATATTCATGAGATTTGCTTTCATCGCTGGAGGCAGTACCCGTCTCCTCTTTCTCACCCGCCGCCGTGGTTGGCATTTACTGCGTTCCTTCTCTGCTCGCTGCGATGCAGTCCACCATCACGCTTTCATTCTCTGCTGAGATCCATTGGCTTAACTCATCCGTTGTCCATGAGATCCAGGTTCTGGGACTTCGGGTCCTTCGGTCTCCAAGGGGAGAGGTTTCGCTTTGACGCTAATTTCTCTCCCATCCTTTTTCTCCTCATTATTCTTCTTCTTCCTTTTATTATAATTAATAATTTCTCCTCCTCCGTGCTGGACCAGATCGGAACAAGTCTCGACTTTTCAACTCAGACTCGTGTCTTAACTCATCCGAGCGAACAGATGAAAAGGATTTCTCATGATCGCTTCATCCGGTTACCACGCACCAACTGTCCTGCAGTCAGGCCCCGTACCTGCTCTTCTTCGGAGTACCGACCGGAAGGGCTTGGCCAGGAGCGAGTTCAGGCAGATGTCCGCCGGAATCAGTTCGCGCACCGGCGATGCCTACTACCCATCACTGTACATCGTGGTAACGGACGCCAACAGGGCAAGAGGATCGGACGATGGATCGTGACGGTCGGGTAGTACGCGGCAGGGGCCCTTGTGCAAGGATCACCGGGAATTGCCCGGAGTATGATTCAGATCATCGGAACTCACGGCGGCGGCAGGTTGTCTGCCACGTGTCATGCGCTGGAGTCAGGAGCGGGGGAGAAGACTTCCTTCCAGACTGTCGACGAACATCTTACCGAGTCAGACTGTCGACGAACATCTCGCCGAGTCAGAACGGAGGGTCTCTCGGCATACAAGACGGAAGCCGTTGGTTTCTACCGACCGAGAAAGAGCCCTGTCGGTGTTTCTTACCGGGGATGGTATCTGTTCGCCGTCCTTTCACCTTTCGGACGCTAACCAGAGATGGATGACAGGAGCTGGCTCAGCACATCGGTAGACGACAAAATACCGTCCATCACCAGAATCCCAGCCGATCTCTGCCTCGTACGTCACCCCGACGTTGACGACGTCAATCATTTCATCGCCATCTCACGGGAGGTCGATTATGACCGTCGTGTTCTTCGGACTCATTCTTTATTGGTCACGATTCCTCCCACACTTGATTCCGGTAGCGACGCAGCTTCCTTACTCTGTAACCTCGACGTGGTACAGCATGGAGTATTCCAGGAATCGCAGAAAGGATCTACCATGTACGGGCTTCGAAGCTAAATCGTGATAGATCAAGCCCCAGGGCACCCAAAGGGTCAAAAGTCTAAAATATAGAACTGCACCCCAAGAGTGTAAGGCAGGCCTCATAAGGCTTGGGAATTACCAAAATTAACTTAAGATATGGATTTTACTCATCTTAATTTTGGTAGATCTCAATATTACCAAAATTATTACAAGAAACATAATGAAAACACGCTATTATTTGATATGGAACTGGACTAGATTTACCTTCCATAAATTTACACCATCGTTGGAACTAATTGGAAACAAATATCTAGAGATGATTAACATCACAACTGTTCAATCTCAACAATTTTTCTCGGGTTTACTTTCGATTTATCGGTTCTAACATTCCTGAAAGACTTCAAGGACATATTTTATTGTTAAATTGAGTCAGCACCAAAAAGTACGAAAATCAAGAATCTTGTATAGGATTGACAAGATCTAATCTTCTTAAATTCTGAAAAAAAAACTCTAAGAGTTGAATTTGAATACAAGAAACCGAGCATGAATTGAACTTTTAATTATGTAATTTCCATCTAGGTTAATTTGGATTTGTTTGTTGTTTTACTTTCTTCCTGTACGTTTTTTTCAAAATGATTTTGAAATAAAATTACGTCACGTGATTTTTGAACATGTGTCGTATTCTTATTGGTGGCAAAGTCAAATTTGTCTCCGATTCCACAAGTATTAGCAAAAGTAATTCTCATTTATGATCATAAAGGCGTCCAAAATTTATGTACTCTGCCAGATTTATTTTTGCTTAATTCTGGAACTCTGGAAACAAATCCCAAAATTTAGGAGGCCTGGTGCAGGGGAGAGATTTGCTTGATGGGACCTCTGCAGAAAGTAATATTCTTGATGGTACCCTTAAAGTTTCGTTTTACCCGATGGGACCCATGAACGATGCACCGTCACCCATGTTCTAATAATGACTTAAGTTTTAGAGACCACTTTCCTCGTTGTTGTCGCATACGCAGGGTTACGGAAGGAGTATGCAGGCGGGAAGGCAGCAGAGAAATTCGCGAATCGATGCGATCAGGAGAATTGAAGCACAACAAATTGCACTTCGGGCAAAATCAATCTTTGTTCCCGTGATAATCCACCAAAAATTATAATCAGTGATTGATATCTGATTGTAATCCTTGCATTGTAACTAGTAGTAATCATAGTTACAAGAACTATGGCCAACGGCATACCGTTGTTGGGATCCATGGGTAAAGCTAAACTTGAGAGTTACCATCAAGCAAATTACTTTCCGCACGGGTACCATCAAGCAAATCTCTCGGGTGTAGGTCATCATTGGACGTACCATACGCACATCTAGCCATTTCTCATACACTTGTTATTCAATGAGAAATGATCATAATATAGTTTCTTTGCAAAGCAACTATCTTCAATGTTGTTTAACCACAACGTAAAAGTGCACCACAATTGTATTTTTGTGTCCTACCAAATGTCATTGAAGGATACTGTATATAAACACATAAATAAACACACTCCCATGTTTATATAGGCATCTCAACCACTCTCAACATTTGTGTGAGAAAATGATATGAGAGCTTATCCAAGTCTTGTATTTTCATTCACTGTCTTGCCATATGTGAGGCAATAGCAAGGATGTTCCATACAAGCTGTTAGTCCATTCATCACTATTCACATTCTTTTTCCCTCTTTGTTTTCCACGAAGTCACTCCATGCTTTAACTTTGTTAGGTTTCTTCAACAGTTGGTGGGCTCCGGGAAGAGGAAGTTTGAGGGTGAGGCCGGTTTTGCGTTGCATTCGGTAAGTGTCATGTTTTAAACAAATTCTTAATATTCTTGAAGATGAGACTTTCAGCGAAATTCGAATATTTGTTTGAACTGAAGACCCACACAAACTTTTCGAAGTAAAAGGAAGTGCGAAAGAAACTGGAAAATGGGGCTAAATTACCGCTAAATGTCTTAGATCATTCATAGAAATTTGTAGCTTGCAATTGTCCATGAAAGGTGGGTGAAGCAAAATAGATGAAGAAACAATAAAAAATAATTTATTCTATACTGAAGTCAGATATATAGAGCAATCTTGCCAACAGTGACCAATTTCAAACCATAAAACTGGCAAGACCTACTGTATTTACTTTTGATGCATGATGTGTAGACCACAAAAATTGCAAACTTGTGGTCTCACGTTATGTGACCCTGGGATTTGTCATCCAGATGTAACTGTTTTGCCATTACTTTTCCGTCGGCGTTTGCACCTGAGACTATCACAATGGAATAACAGAAATTGCGACACAATCAGCTCAACACATCAAATGGAGGAAATTTATGAGTGAAGAAGTCATTCAAATAAGCTGATGATGATGGAAAGAAGATTTCTATCTACCCTGCCGAATAGTCCCTAGGCCAGTTCTACTTTGTTTCGGTCACGCAAATGAACCTCTCCTTGGGTTCTGCTCACTGAGGACACAAGGATCACTTGTTTAAGAAAATACTCATTCGATCCATATATTATGCTAATAAATGAATGAAAATAATGAAGTCGACCCTTCATAGGCCAGCGGCTCAAAAGGTCAGACAGAATGAGTGTACATCCTATTGGTCAAAACCTTAGAAACAGTGTCCAGAAGGACATGGGTACACACCAATTACGAGGAAAGGCTTCCATTTTTGGTTTCATCCATGTGCGGCTCACTGGGATCTTCCACTTTGGTATCTATTTCCCACTTCCCCTTAAAATAATGATGAAAGGTCAGCAATTAACCAATAAAGCGCAAGAGCATACGAGTGTGCCTGGCAAGCGGTATCGACTTCTGCATGTTGCATGTCGTATCATATGCTCATGTATTTATGACGTTGGCTCATTATATCGAAAGGACAGTACCATCCGTTGCGACAATTAGCAGTCGATAAGAAATGGGTGGTTTATGAGTTTATCCATGCCACCGGGTAAATCGGGCCTCCGGTCAATGGGCAAAGCCAGCAACCCCCTTTCTCGCTCGGCAAGAGAAACCCGTGCCCGGTGCTGAACTTCCGCCGGGAAGGAACGAAGTACGACGGACGACAAGAGCGGGTCAGTCTGACGTGTCGTCCACAGCGAGGCAGGCAGCCTTCCCTCGGTGATCCTCGGAGGCTCCGATGGCCTCCACGTGGACGATGTCCGTCGCGATCCACCAAGGGATCCATCCAGTAAGAAAAAGGGGGCGGGGGGAGAAGGGGGGTTTGGATAGAGAGGCGGTCGTTGAGTTGATTGCAAATTTTATCTGCTCGAAGAATGTCGGAACGGTGGGTCCCACCTTCGGAGTCCCGAGTCCCGAGTCTCGACCCGTCCCCTTAACTGGGCACATCGGGTGCAGCGCAAGCCAATGCTGTCCCGTACGAAGAATGGGGATGGAGTACCGATCCGGAGCGTGCGCCTCTTTCTCCGAGCAACTGCGTACAGCAAAACTGCCCAGTACCGAGCAGTACAGTACAGTGCTGTGTTCGCTCTGCTCGTGCGAAGTTGACGTGCGGGCGTGATGACCTGAACTGCGTTCGATCGACGCTCTGACTCATGCGTACGTGGTCGACGCCTCGGTCAGTACTGTGGTGGCATAAATGCAAAGAAACCTCGCCATCTGTCGAACGGAGCGCGCCCGGCGGAATGCCAACGACCGGCTCGTTCTCGAACAGCGAACGAGGGCGTTCATGGAATTGCGGACACGGGCTCGGACGCAGAGAGAGCGAGATTCCCATGGCAGGAGAGGAGGTCGAGGCTTTGGCAGCTCGTTCTCCTCGCAGGCATGAGCGCAGGGTACACAGATTGTGCCTCGTCCTCTGCTCGGCCTCGCGCGATTTCTCGGCGGGAACCGTGCCGCGCGCATTTTCTCTGTTGCGGAGAGTGACGCGCGATTTCTCGGAAGTCGCAGATTTCGAAGGTGCGTTGATTATTTGGTTCCTGTCGCTGTCATTTCTCTCGGTCGCGATGAGACCGCCGCCGAGACTTCGTGTGCAGGAATCGGAGTACAGGGAAATGCACCACGCGAAGCGCTTTGGGGAATTGAAGGCGACCTCCAAGAATCCGAGATTGGTTCCCTGAGGGTTCGCCCGCTCTCTCTGTTTCTGTCTCTGCCTAGGTTCTTGTTGTGGAGAATCCCGAAGCGTTCGTGTTCTTAGTCTGGAGCATTTGGAATGGTCATGCGCAGGTCTTCGCTGTCTGTTTCGAAGGCATCGGACTCTCACCAACTAAGATGTCGGCAGACGTCAGTCGTTAAGGTCTTGTACCAGAAAGGAAGACCACACCAAGTACTTATTCTACCGTCCCGCGCTTCAATTCGCAGCATTCAATTTCCATCGAAGGTGGAAATTACGTGTACATTGGCACAGCATTACTCAGGTGTCTTCAGTGCGGCATCTTTCATCTACTGTGCTCTTGCGTCCCCGGCTACCGACGCAGAGAAAGAGGAAGAGAAAGGACTGAGAGGCTCACGTATCCAATGCCGCCAAGCGCTCCTTGCTCACCATCACTTCCAGCGACCGCCTGCCATATTCAAGATACAAGCCCGCGGAAGACAGAAGCGAGGGGAGTTCAGCCGTCGACAGAATCCATGGAGGCATAGAGCGTGGCTGCTCCGCCATCCGCCCACAAAGCTCTCTCTCCGGGAAAGAAAATAGAAGTGCCCAGAAGCGGAACGCGAAATTCGATTCGAAGGCGGACCGCCGCATCGAAAACGACAAACTCGGTCGGGAGTCGAGAGAGAAGCAGCAGTGGGCGGTCGAGCGAGTGCATCGGGCGGGCTTCGTCTCCGTCGACGGAGGTGGCGTGTGCAGAATAAAGGCGGAGGACACAGAATGAGAGAGAAGAGCGGATCGCAAACCCGGAACCGGTATTTATGGCGGTCTCTGCCAAGATGCAACTCGCGCGACCGGGAAGCGAATAGTTTCTGCCCTCTGTACGCTACTGCTGCTGCTGCTTTGGTCGTCAGAATGGATCCCCGGCTCGTCCTGCGGAAGGGGACGTTCCGACTGAAAGGCGGGAAGATTTTGGCCCCGCCGTCCTCTGTGCCTCAACCCTGGCATTCCCACAGCCCACCGCCTCTGCCACTGCGTGCTCGGCTCAAGATCCCTCCTTCGTTTGCCGTCGACTTCGTCGCCATTCGGTCGCGGCTCGGACCCCACAACTTACACCTCTCGTTTCATCGGCAACTTTGAGCTGCATGTTGCGAGGAGGTGCTTTGATTCCAACTTATGATTCGTTCTCGACGCCTCGTTCACCACTTCCTATCTATCCGAATTTCCGACTAAGACGAAGTCTCGGCACTGCCCTCGGAAATAACATCCGGGGAGACGGAGCTGAAGTGAAGGCGCTGTCCAGAGGAGACGCGCAAAATGGGTTGGCGAGAGAGCTACTTGGACGCAATTTTGGTGCCTTTAGGTTTGATTCTGATGTTCGCGTATCATGCTCATTTGTACTACAAAATCCGCACCAGCCCCCTGGATACAGTCATCGCCATCAATCACTTGAATCGACGCGCTTGGGTTCATAATATTATGTCGGTAAGGGGTTGTCGCATCAATTACTGATGGCGTTTTTTTCAAAACTTACCATTCACAATTTCCTGGAATCTTTCACTTCGTTTTGCGCAATTCACCCTTTTATCGCATTTCACCCCGACGATCCAGTCTTCGCACCCGTTTACTATGGTGCTTAGAGTCTCTGACAGTTGTTGGCATCTAGATTCTCTATGTTGCTTGAACTGTCTCTGGCTGGTCGTCCAGTCCCGATCTGCTAGATTGACTGCCTGCCGGTGCGTTCGACGGAGCGACTAAGTGCAGAGTATAATTTGTTTCATCAGTGTCGGGTGCATCATGTGTGGACGTGATTGAACTTCAGTGGTTGGTTGTAGAAGGCAAGACGCTCTCGAGGATCGCTTGGAGGAAATTGACCCTGAACTGGAAGGAAACTGCTGTCCGTCAACTTTATTGAATGCTTCCTAAAATGAGACAGTTTCCTTGTATGCATCCAAGGCAGACGTTCACGGACGAGAAATGAGCAGCTATCGTGGCGCCGAGGTTCTCATGGACTCTTCCTTCGGCTTTGAAATAAACAACGGGATACAAAGAAAGGAGGCCTTTTTGCCCTTCTTATAAGCTATATCGATGATCACAATGTAACTTGTGTAATGTTGGCTCTATTTGGATTGCAGGACAGCAAAGCCAATGGAATTTTGGCTGTTCAAACAATCCGTAACAGCATAATGGCTTCGACACTTCTCGCCGGGACAGCCATAACTTTGAGTTCTCTGATAGGAGCTTTGGTTGCGGGGTCGTCTACCACTTACAACAGCGTGATTGTCGTCGGTGCCTTCGGTAGCACAATTTTGGCTGTCAAGTATCTCAGCATTCTGTGCTGTTTCCTGGCTGCGTTTGTGTGCCACGTTCAGGTTGAAATTTCTAACATCATCTTGACAGAACGTTGATTGGATATGGTACTAATAATTGAAGATGAATTCCGTAGAAGACACGTGTGCCCACAAAGACTAGAGCCTTCTAAGTTCTTTCAGCTCTCTCTGTGATAGAATCATGTCTGCAGAAAGCATTGCAGCTCACAGTGGTGCCATCTGTGTTGCTTTCGTAGTCCTGTTCCTAACCTCATTCCAACTTTCATTTTGAATGCGTGCAGGCAATCCGGTATTCGAGCCATGTCAGCTTCCTCATCACAGTTCCAGTCGGAGAAATGGCCCCTGGACTCTCTGCAGAGTATGTGAATAGAATGATATACAGAAGCTCCAATTTCTTTTCCCTTGGGCTCAGATGCTACTATCTCTCGTTTCCTTTGCTTCTGTGGCTCTTTGGCCCCATCCCTATGTTCGTTTGCTGCCTTCTCATAGTCTCCCTGCTCAATATCGTGGACACTGCCAAGGACTTCAAGCTCACTTTGCATCACAGTGAGCATGGCGTCATCGAGCCCAGAAAGGAAGACAAGAAAAGTACCTATACCGACGAGATGAGGAGAAAAGACGAAGAAGCCATGGACTAGATTTACATGTCCACGCTAATGATTTTGAAAGTAACCTAACCTATTCTTTTCTTTGTCCTAAGATGTGCAGTAGGTCGCATTTTTTAATGTCTTCGACTTTCGAATGTGAACTCTTACAGTTCTCGGGAGCTCCATCTTGCTTCCAGGTTATAGTAGATTGTCAGTCCATTACCCTCGGCAGGATAGAGCACCCCGAACTTCCAATGTTTTCGGAACAGAGCGTTCATCTGTGGGTTGAAGTACAGAGTATAGTCAACTTAATAATACCATTTCCATCAAAGAAGAATGCCGACTTCACGAAGACGGTAGTCAAGTTCTCGAAGCCAATTCAATTAAGCATTCTTTGTACAAAATATGTGAGGAGTCTTTTCTTGAAATCTATCACCCACATGGGGTTGAGCAAGAAGAGATTCCAATCTCCCCTTGTTTATTACTGAATACAAGAAGTAAATGTAGACACAGCTTCGTGTCAGATCTTTTTTGTGTGATTGACCTCTGTATTGGATTGGCCATGAGCTGCGACCAAAGGAGGTAAGTGATCATCATGCTCGAGTGTGGCTAACGGTACCAAATGATCTGCTGGACGGTAAGTTGTCGAAGGGATAAATGCAGTGGGTCTACCATGGATTCAAATGTGACATCTTTCGTCTGCGCTATTGCTTAATACTATCCAGTCCGACACTGCAATTGGCAACGATCACAGAGTACACCGAACTGAGAACCATCACCATTCATGACTTTTATCATAGTCGCTCTGCACAAATTGTAATAGCTACTTGTATATGCGAGTTAGAGTGTAGTATACGATTCGGTGCCAAATTATTCATGAGACTGGTCTTTCCTCTCATTTCGCCGAACGCTGAAGATACGAGAAGTCTTGTATTTCCCCACGAGGCATTCTGAGAGTTAACAACATCTACTGCTCAAGGGAATGTCATACTAGGCTCCCAGCTGAGAAAAATGTGATACCTTGTCATCAGAATCATGCGCGATGATTATCAGTAATTATCGCACCATCAAAACTGGCATCGTTGAAGACAGTTTTCACACGTATTATGAGCTCAGTTACACTTCACAAAGTTTAGCTTGGAAATTCAAAGTGGTTGTAGGGGAAAAAAAAAAAACCATCTTCGAACAAGCGGATTGTGCACATGACAATACGTCACATATTCGTAACAAAGCCCGATTAAACAATTTGCAAAGACTGATCTCATTGGGGCCCACAATTCGGTTGATTTCCCATCTTTCTAAGGTCCAAATCGCATTCTGGCAAATAAACAAACATATTCGCTGAAAGAGAAAAACAAGTTGCAAACTTAGCAATTGAGTTGGAGAATCAATCGACATAGTGGACAGACTTCTATCATGGAAACTGTAAGATTAAACTCAGGCACGCTGAGGGTTGGAGAGCACTCTTTTTGCATCCCATACCATCAATGCTGACAATATTTGTACAGAAACTAAAAGCCCTCATCTATCTTCGATGCCCGGCAGGGCAGTCTGAGAGAGCATAAATACAGTCTATATAATTTGAAGTGCTTTTATTTATAGTAGTACAAATCGCTGAAACGCTGGCTGGATATAAACTATTCTGCACTTTGTCCCAATTCTTCCTCCTTTCCTCAGTTCCAAGCGCTCTTTGATGGGGTTCAATCGCTCTCAGGTTCATGGCTCGACAGATATGCGCCAATGTAGCCCAAGGACCCGGGCAAACATCAAGCCGTTTCTCTCAGTCTTCTCTCGTGTTCAAGTGGCGAGCTATGCAGTCACGCACCGCTCTGGTCCAGGTCCTCTAACGTGAGCTCCGTGTGCTTACAGATGGCATCCAAAATTTTGCCCTTCTCCCTCGTGGGGAAGGACTCGACGAGCACTCCATCTTTGTAGAAATGGAACAACGGAACTACCTTGATCCTCAATCTGTCCGCGACGTCCGACTGCTCATCGTATTCGTCGACGACATTGTGCTTCAAGAACATGACATGAGCGTCGCTGTTTCCGGCGCCCTTACACAACTTGGCGAACCCTTTTTCGATGTACTTGCAACTTCCGCAAGACGGCCTGAAAAAGTCCACGACGACTAGACTCCCTTGTTCCTTGGCCTGTCCCAGAAGCTCGTCAAATTCTTCCTGCGAGCTGAATTCACGTACGCATTCCACGGGGCAGAGTTCAGTGTCCTCTTCGTCCTCGTCCTCGCTCTCGCTCTCGCCCTGCTCCTGCTTCTTCCACTGTTTCTCCAACCGGTACTGCGCGGAATTGATGGCTCGAACGGGCTCGCTCGCCCGAGACCGACGGAAAATCGAACAATTCCTGATTCTCGACTCCTCACGCACACTCCGCAACGCTGATCCGGAGGCATCACAAGGCGCCCACGAGCTCCTCACGAGGAATGCAGGCCTATGGACGAGGTTTCGCGGTCCACATTCCAGAGCGGCGACATTCTTTCCTCCGAACAACTGCGATTTGCCGCTGATGTCGAGAGCTGCGGGCACCGAGAAGCGCACAGAGCCCATCGCCCCTTCGCCCTCCTGTCGACGACGACGACCACCACGACCACGACCTCTCCTCGACCTTCGCGCCTTCTCTAGCTCTCCGGACGAGCTCTAGCAGGCGATCAGACGGACTCGGCCAGAAGAGCGAATTGCGCCACAGAGGCCCCCGAACGATGCCCCGCGATCCCTGGCACGATCGGCCTGTCGCTGCGTCTCATTCGCCTTCCGATCGAGCGAGCGAGCGAGCGAGCGAACGAGGCGAGGCAGGGCATCGCCACGGCTTCCTCTCGGGCGACGACGACGACGACTCGGAGGCGAGATATCTTGCGCGGTGGCATTATTCGGCATCGCCATCTCGCGACCTCGACATTCTGTGATCGAGAATTGCTCGAGCCGTCCCGTCGTCGGTCCTCCGCCGATGGCGTGACGATGACGACTGCTCTGTTCATTCCGGCGTCGCGCTCCGTCCCTTCGCTTCCCTTCCCTTCTTTTGCTGCCCCGACCATCCACCATGCCACCGGCTTTCGCCGTTTCCGCTCTAGCAGTCTCTCGCGTTCTCGCATTGCTCTTCTTCGCTCACCGGCAATCATCCGGTGATCACCGGGTCTGCACCCAATTTACCACGTGCTTTTTTGAATGCTTTACATGATGCGTTCTCTTTGCTTTTCTTTTTTTAGTACGTTTCGCCCCCTATTATACGCATGCATTTCCCATCATCACACATCAGAGTCTAACATTGGGTGACCATACCCATCGGTTGTGGGTGACATTAATCTCCATAGATGTACACAAGCAATGATGTGGGCAATGTTTGTCACATCAACCAAGAATTGGTGTAGCTTGATAATAAGCAACTTGAATAGAATGGATGATAACAGTTGATACTATGGCTGGGTATAGGTAACGGATGAAATGTTGTAATCTGCATATATGTTTGGAGTTTATTATATACATTATAATATAAAAAAAATGTTAATGTATGAAACCATGAAAAAATTGCTAACATTTTTGTTGGTAATCAATTTTTAAATTATAAGTTAGAGTTTCAATACAAAATTTTGTATGTTTATAATATTATAAAGTTATTGAAATATATTTTTATTTTTATATGATAAATTATCTAGATTTTTATTTTTTAACTATATATATTCATTTTGTCTGTAGATTTACCTTAAAAAAACAACAAAAAATCACACTAGTCTAAAACACAACATACTACAAATTTATTACATAATTTGTCCTGATTGCACACAAACAAAACAAAACCAAGAATGTATTAAACTTATACCGTGATACACAAGATCTACGTTAAATTAAATAATACCATATATACATAAAAATAACTATTATTGAAAAATTAATTCAAACTGTAGTTAATTTTAACCTTTTATTTTTATTTTACATATGATATGAAGCAAATTTTTACATTTTCATAATTTCTTGATTGATTAATAATTATTTTTATTCAATATTTTAATAATATTTTAATTAAAATTTAAATTTTATGAATAAAATTAAAGATTCATATGTATTTTAACATATTGCAAAATTTTTATTGAAACACAATAAAGCATGTAAATGTTAAATTGTTTTATTTATAAATAATAACATTTGATATGTAAATTTCAAAAAAATTATACGTTTGAAGATTAAAAAAATATTTTCATCTTAATCGAAGGTTTCATACAATTTTTATAATATGGTGTTAATAAAATAATAAAAATTTTGCAATTTGATTTCTATTTGTATCAATTATTACATTAAATGCTTACATTCTTTTCATCTAAAGTAAAATCTGTCATTATGAAATCTGTGAGTAAAAAGTGAATCAGAATAATGAACTAATAACTTACAATAACTTGAATAATTAATAAGAGAGTTTGTTTTGATGTTATGATTTTAGTTATTTTGAACAAACATATGAAAAATTAAATCTCTTCAAATTATATTGTTATGATATTTTTTTAATCACATAAATTCATCAATAAATTTTTTATTTTTTATATAATTATATAATGATAAAAAATATTATTTGATTAATTTAAAAAATATTATAATATGATTATTAAATTTTTTTAAATATTATATTTAAGTTGTTGTACTATAGATTTTATATCGTTGACATGCTACTCACGTACATACATATACATAGACACGAGAGCATACATATTCAAATATATCATAATTTCCTATATGAAATTAAGACAAATCTTGAAAAATTCTACTGCTGAGAATTTTAAATTCATAAGTTTTCCAATTAAATTAAAACGTGATTATCCCAGTGACAAACACAATAGTACATACACTGTCGTGTCTAAACCACTCATGAAAAAAAACAAGTCGACGCTTACTTACATGTATTTTTTAATATACTAAATATAGATGTCGGGTTAAAATTACTATTCACGTATGGTATAGAGTCGACGATGTTTCGAAGAACGTCAGTTCTTTGAGTTGAGCATGTAATGTCAAATCAGTGAGCGTCCTCAAGCGTCTTCATGTATTTTCAAAACGAGTGGATTGGACTCGACTTAGGTATATGTTACAGATTTGCTGCCAGTGGTGTAATCAAGTCTGAAGTGTTTGCTAGTGGAAAAAACACATGAAATTCACTTGAAGAACTTAAACATTGATGTCGAAATCCGACAAAATTTCAGAATTCAAAATTCTGTCTAATCTTCAAATTTATATGCACCCGCGCGTTACGCGTACTCGTCACGCTCTTCCCGACTGGAAGATACTCTTGCGAAATCGGCACGAATCTGAACAGTAAACAAACAAAACTTAAAATTATATATTTGAAATCGGCTCGAAGTAAATGCAACTTGAAAATCATTGAAATCTGAAACCATGGCAATCAAAGATCGCAAAATGGCACGAAAACTAGTTCTTCGAGTATGTGAATAACATTTCGGCGATGTAGAGTGTATGGCGACATATATTCTCACGACATTATGAGCACTCATTAATTCTAACGCTAAAGTCTAGACTTGAAGAACTAAATATTCTTTGAATCTCATGTCTTTTGTACCTTCTACGAGTAGTAACCCTAGGCTGACGGCTAGATATAGTAAACATAAAAAGACAGGACAAAGTAAAAATGTAATGATCAATTTTTTATCTAGATAAAAAAATATTTTTTTTGTTACTAAATTTATAAGTGATTATTATTTGTCTATAAATAGAACTGTATAAACAAATGTAAATTTCAAAATTGATATCATGTTCTGATTTTAGTTTTGATATAAATTTTTTTTTTAAATAATGAGATTTTGAAAAAAAAAATATATAAAATTTTGAAAAATAACAAAAGTGCATCAATTAGTTTATTTTGAATCAAAATAATGAATTCAATATTCTCTAATTATAAATTGCTTATTAGTTATATCAATTGAGTACTAATTTTTTTTATTATATTATAACTAGCTACTTGTTTGAAGTTGAAGAATAATAAATTTTAAAAAATTGATTATCTGTGAAAGTTGTAATTTTCAAGACTTAAGTGAATTTTTAATATGTATATGATAGAAAATATTATAATAATAATATTATTTGAATATGATTATATCCACTAAAAATTTTCAAATTTGATAGAAGTAAAAGAATCAAAACAACAAAATTTGTTCAATAATCATATTTTTGACTATTATAGGCTAAAAAAATTATCTATGTTGAATATATCTAAAAAAAATATTTGACTAATTTAACAAAATTAAAAGTACATCATTGACACATTTGTGTAAAAAAATTATGCTAATATTAAAAATAATAATCATAAATCAATCATACATACATAAGAACATCCAAATTTATTGATGAATTTGAAATAGAATATGTGATAAACAAGGTGAAAAGATAACATAATTTATTTATTTATATGAGAAAAATAAATAAATAAATATACATATGTATACAAGTTTATGATAAAAAATTAATATTTTATTTAATGAAACAAATATTTTTTGTCTCATCAAAATGACATATTAATTTTTCAAAAAACATTCACATTCAATAAATAATTTATGGCTTATATGTAAAATAGAATAAAATTTAAACTTGTTATACACATCAATATTTTTTTTTAATATAAAGAGTTAAATGATGAAATCAATATTTTCTAATCTAAAAAATAATGAAATTAATGTGAATATTTATTTGAAATTTAATAAAGATTTTTTTAATATAATGCACACAATAATCAACATTTAATCTTTTATCATAGCAATCAGTAATATTTGTTAATTTGAATCAAATTTTAATTCAAGATCAATTGTTTTGATTTAAAATGGAGAAAATTAAATTATTCAATATAAATTAACATATCAAGGACTTTATAATTCTATTAGAATGAAATATAATATCTAGAATATATGCTATATATACAAAAAATTTATTAAAAATAAATTTGAAATGAAAAAATAAAAATTGATTATAAATAAAAGAAGTACAGATTCTATTCACTTTTAGAAAATAATATTTATTACTCATTTTGCATGAAAATTGATAAAATTGTATCAAAGATAAAAGTGCTAAAAAATTCACAGTAATAATCGTTTGTGAGAAACATTTGAACTTTGAATAAAAGTGTAGATAATTATAATTTATAAATGAAATAGATAAATATATAAATATATAAATATACATACATATATATCATAGTAACTAAATTTAATATATTTTTTATTTTATTTTGTTACGTGCCAATTTCGCAAGCAATATGATCTTCGATTAGATTATCACTTATTGAAAGAAATTATTTTTATAATTATGTATACATATTATATAAATAATATTTTTCTAAATTAAATTATCACCCTTATATTTTTGATAAAAAATTAGTTTTTTTAATTTTTTTTACATGTTTTCTGTAATGAGTAATTGTGTTATAAAAAGCAAGGGTCATATATCAAGAATTAATTTGTAATTTTCTTTCTTTGTGAAAGAATTTAAATATCTGTTATACTATAATTATATATTACATCAATTTAAAAATTTTATTTCAAAAATATAAAAAATCATGTGAAAATTATGTTTGCAATTAAGTTGAAAAAAATTTAGAATATGATTTTTCAAGAAAATTCTATTAATTAATATGTCATAAATTTATCAAGAAAAAATATGTGATACCTGAATTCAAAAAACTAGTTAATATAGATGATATATATATTATTGAAAACTAATCATTGTTCAAAATATAAAAGTAATATGATAGTAAACATAAGATCCATGACGTGGAATATGATATGATTAAAGTCATAATTAAAATAAATAAATATTCAGTACAGTGTATTATTTATGGGGTTTACAATCCCCGATGTTACTGTTTCTTGTTTCTTCTTAGAGTGAATTGGGGTCCTGTCGAGGGTAGGGAAGTGTCGAGTAGAGTGAGTTGGGGTCCTGTCGAAGGTAGGGAACTGTCGAGGGGAGCAGTGGCGACACGAGAGAAGTCCAGGACTGCGCCTCCGCTCGAGAGCCAACTTGTGCTGCCGTCGTCGTCGTCGCCGCAGAGCGCCGAGTGATTCTTACACATTGACCGTCGCGATGGCGAAGAAGAAGAAAAAATCGAAGGTGAAGCTCATGGTGGGCTCGACTCCGATGGATGTGATGAAGGAGGCTGGTGGCATGGATTCGGAGGCCGCCCCAGCTGCCGTTCATTCTGGAGGCGATAGTACGTGATGTTTTTTCTCTCCTCTGCTGAAAACCCCGTTGTGAGCTCTTCTGCTTCTGTAATGAGTCGTATTTCGGACACGTGCTTTAAGTTTTGGTCGTAGAGCTTTTCGCAGTGAAGTGTTTCATAGGGTTGAATGTTGCCGCTTGTTATATTGCAGCTATGGATACTTCGGAGATCGTGGTGACAGATGCTGGTCCATCGAGGAAGCTCTCGATGACTGCAGGGCTTAGTGGCAGGTGCGACAATTCTCCTGACTCCAACCCCGGAACTCACAATTCTCTATACTGGTCTGAATTTGCATTTGTCTATTCTGTTCTCAGTGTTCAAAGGTACAAATCTTGATTTCCCAATTTGTATCAATGGAACTCTCCGTCCAATTTTTGATCGAAATAGCATGTAGCAAACCTGTATACTCGATTGCTTTACTCTAACCACATTTTGTGTGAAAATGAAGACTAGTAAACCTCGTCGCTGGTTATCTGGACGCGTATGTTAGATGACACTGATCTAAAACGGGTCCTACTTTCTTGGCTACATGACTTGCATCACAAGGTCTCATCTTTCCATTAATAAGAATACACGTCATGTGGAACCATTTCTGAATGTCAGACCTGTCGCCCAGTGGGACTCGGTGGTTTCTCGAAGTTGTGAGATCCTGCAGGTTAGGAGTCGTAGAGATCTTCCTTCTTTGTTGCCGTCTTTCCTCTTGATGATGCTTGTTCCTCGCTCCGTCGAGCTGGAATGCGCTGAAAGGAAACTGCCCAAGCTAAGTTGGCTAAGCTCAATCAACTGGCACTATAGTATCCATGCCTATCGGTAGTATATGTGAATGGGCTACCCTCTACCTGCTCTCTCGTAAGCAAAAAGCAGGTATCTTATGGATCAGCACTACCGTTGTTCTATGTTCAGGTCTCCGTCTTCTTATATCCATGTTTATGAATTTATCAATCAGACTTCTTCCTTTGATGTCGAAATTCTGGTTTCCTTGAAGCAGGATGTCGATGCCTTTTGTGCATCCCAACACATCTCTGATCAGAGTAGGAGAGCCCTCCTCAAGGCCGTAGGAACATATCCAAACAAAGAGCTTATTGCGAAAGGGCTTCGAAGACTCTTTATGCCTTTCAACTAGTTCCATGTAGTACTACTCGGATGTAGGCATGCATTTGTTGCTTCTGATGGGGAGGACTATTTTCGAAAGATTACGCCGCTAGGGAAGTTAGGGCAATGCACCACGCGTGCTGTGTCCACAGCGCTCTCGAACTATGCGAGTATTGTTTTACAGAGTGGGCTTCAGGCATAAGATTTTAATTATCCTGGCGAGCTCCTTGTAGTTGTACTCTCTGACCTGAAAATCGAAGTGTCTAATGTTTGCGTTTTAAATCTGCGTTGTGGGGTGTGATTTGTCAGGGTAATTAAAAAAGGGCCTCAAAAGCGGAAAGCTGCCAAACTGAGGAAGAATAAGGCCTTGGAGAAAGCTATGTCTATGGTGGAAAAGCAGGAACAAAGGATTATGAAGCAGGAACTAAAATCATATCGGGTACAAACCCTTAAGAAGATGGATAGTGATTAAGTAAGCTTGACATTCTTCCGGAGACGTGCAAAGTAGTTCTAATCAGTGTGTTACTTCTATTTTGCTCTCGGTAGCGTAGATAACCAGGTGGATGTTACTCCACACATGGTTGCGGATTGGGAGGTTCACAATTTTCGAGAATATACCAGCAAATTCACAGTTCTTAATGTGTACAGGGTTGTTATCAAGTGAGCTCTCAGTGGAACTTATGCATTGTCGGCAGAGACACAAGTGACTGAATTCGAGGTCTGTTTGCAAAGCTCGCATTGTGGATGAGATTTAGTGCGAAGGTTGTTATCTGTACTGATCTCCGTGCTTGGACCGTGATGCCTGCTGTTAGTCTACACTTCGTTTCCTCGGAGCTATTTCTGCCTGGAGGAGACTGCCCGAAAGCGCGAACCCAGCGTCGGTCTTCATGCAGATATGACAGATTTCTCAGCACCTACTATGGAGACATGCATCCGGGATGCTTCGTGCAATAGAATTTACGGGGTCATCGATTTGCCGGAAGGGTCATGGGATTCTAGACTGGCATCAGAAAAAGCCCCAGCCAGCAATTTACTCTTAAAATGTGCTTTTGAAACAACCACATGACTAGGACACGACCGAAGCGCATCATGCCCTGCACCGCGGTTAATTGCGGTATTTCACAATGACTTCCCCTGATTTGCAGTGGCAACGAAGGGTTTGAGCTCAAGTACAGCGCTGCATTAAAGACAGTTGGAAGAATCGACGATTTACACACGCCGTTTGGTTTTGTGGCCAGCTGATTGGCCTCATTACGCACTTGACATGGACGCTTCCCCGATGGAGTGTCGAGGTTTACAGCTCTGACCGTCATCGGTCGCGTGAAAAAGCCAGGTCTTCTCCCTCGCCCAGGCTGAGAAGATGCGGGCTACGAGAGAGGTCGAGAGAGTGCGAGCGGGAAGGAAATGAGTGGAGACCTCAGAAATGCAGATTCGGTCAACGCTGTCGTGTAAGCTCACTTGTCACTCCAGTCGACTGATTTGGCGAGCATGGAACTGATCGGGGCCCGATTGTCTGTAGCTTTGAAAGAGAATATTTGGTTCTTCACACGACAACGATAGCTTCGGGGGCTTGGCGATAAGGATCAGGAGGCCAGGCTTTAATAATGCAAAAGGGAGGGCATCGCGGCCCATGTGCCCATCTGGAACGCGGGGGTCAAAACTCAGAGACACGCCAAAGCTCGAGAAGCCCGTCACTGTTAGCAGCAACACTCCAGAAGCACACGCTTGCGCTCGGGCTCGGGCTCGGGCTGGCCCGACCTGCAGCTACTTGTAATGGGCTGCCATTTCTGCGCGATGGAAAAGTGGGTCAGATTTACTCGCTGCTGCTTGCGCGACGAATATGTCAGCCGCAAGCCCCCTCCTCCTCTCTCGAAGGCCTTGGGTTGGGAGCCCCATCAGCCGATCGGAGCGACAGTCCACCTCCACCTCCTCCTCCTCCTCGTCGCAACCCGTGCGTGCTTCAGTCAGCTTCAAAGAATCGCCCCAATCCCAATCCCAATCCCAATCGCAGGCCCCGTTCCGCCCTCGAGCACCGAATTCAAGGCCTTGCGAGCCATCCGTGCCGGACCCCGAGTCTGCATCGATCTGGGACAATGAAGAGTACCGGCGAGTCACCATGGCGAAGCTCGTCAAGGGCGTGTACGAGCTGGAGCACAGGCGAATGGTGCAGACCTCGGCGGATGCGGAGCCCCCGGCTCGCCGGTGGTGGGAGTCTGTCAACTTCGAGCTCGTCGGATTGCAGGAAGAGGAAGAGCAGAGGAAGAAGAATTCGCACGACGAGGAGAAGAGCATCAATCTGGCCGTGTACCGATGGAACTCGGCGTCGCCCGCACCTCCTCCGCCGCAGAAGGTCGTGATCGCCGTGCGAGGAACTCTGCCGCGAATGGACGACGGCTGGCACAACATGCACATCCCTCTGCAGCGCCTGCACGAGACGCCCCGCTACAAGGAGATCATGGCGGCGGTGAAGAGCGCCGTCGCCACGCACGGGAGCCATGAAGTTTGCATCGTGGGCCACTCGCTGGGCGCTGCGCTCGGATTGCTCGTGGCCCGCAGCCTCGCCGTGGACGAAAGCGTCCGAATCGAGTCGCACCTTTTCAATCCCGTCTATCCCTACACTTGGGTCCCCGGCCCGCACGAGCTCATCGGCGATGAAGCTTTGTGGAGCACGATTAGGGCTATGCGCTATGCGGCGACCGTCGGCCTCACGCATCTGCTGGTGGACGCCGAGACCCGATCATCCGTCGAAGCAGAGTTCCTCCGCCTGCAGGATTGGACTCCTCATATCTATGTCAACAAGGGCGATCCGATCTGTCGAGGGTACTGGGAGTACTTCCATAGCCACGAGCGCCTCGCGCGACAGGGCTCGCTGGGAGCTCGAGTCTCGTCCATGGCCGCGCCCTACTCGACCAGAGGTCTAGCGTTCCGTGGATCCAAGCCCGTGCATCTCGTGCCTTCCGTGGTGCTTCACCTCTGCGCGGGCGCTCCGATGGATGTTTGGACGGATCTCGGAGATTATCGCTACTTTCACCACAATCTGAAAAATTGGTGGACCAAGGATTTGCAGGTTCAAACTCGGCACGTTCGGATCGCGAGCTGGTGAACAACATCCTCCGTGTCTTCTACCGTAAATGCGACGTGTTTCATTGTATCATTGTATCATTCTTGGACGAGAATTGTGATCGTCTGTCTGAATTGGATGTACGAGGCTCGAGGGGCTAGCAATTTGTGAATAGATAAAGAGTTCTCTTGGGCCTCGTTTCCTTTGGCCACATCCCTGTTCTTCTTTTACTCGAGCTCTTTTCCTCACCCTCTGTCTCTACACAGAATATTGACCTCGGATCATGCCCAACCACTTTGCGCAATTTCGATTTGTCTCGAAAGCTGCATGCAGCGTTCGTCGTCACTCCATGCCCCGATTGGTTTGATTTTTGTCGAGCGAAATTGTCGACTTCTCGAATCCGGGAATTCAAACCAAATCGTGCACCTGCAAAGTGTGCAGAGTCGAACCTTCGCACTGAGCCAGGAGGAATTTTGTTGTGCTCTTCTTGCTCTTGAGGCCACGAGAGAGTCCTTGCATGACAGACTGACAGAGGGTCACCGCACGACACCTGCCGAAGGAAAAGCTTTGTTGGGCCAGTCATTCATTGACCGCAAATTCAGCGAATTAATTCAGTCCGCGGATTAATCACAACTTCTACATTCCATCCGACTGTCCTTCTCAGTATCAGGACGTTCGCTGGTTGCACTTACAAGATTCTCTAAACGCCCAACCGGGTGTCTGAAAACTGAGAAAAAGTGAAAAATTCTTTAAGATGAAAGTCATTTATCTCTATCCTTGACACAAGGCACGATTTAAAAACCAACAAAGCCATATGACTCAACGCAGAGTTGATTCCACGCTCGTCCAAAAGCATATTAAAGTTTGTAGACACTTTTATTTTAGTGCTAACAGGAATTGGTGTTACTGTCAATGTCACTGTCGAACGTGTTGAAGAATATGGCAGAAAGTGAGACTTGCTTCATTCCTATTGCACTCCTCTCCGCGTGTCAACCAGATATGCAATGTAATGTCTCATCTACAAATTGAAGAATGGAATCACCCGTAAGAAAAATTTTAAAATTGTAGTATGGGTATGTAAAGATCCGAGTACTCTATCGCCCTCGTAGAACAGTCCAATGTCTCGAGTCTATCGGGAATAAAAGAGGACTTATTATGCGGAATCATATAAAAATGACATCAATTTAGATGCAGTTTGCATTGGACATGAACTCTGCTAATTATGGAGTATCATGTTGGACTCACTATTCATATCCATTTAAGAACATCAACTGTGGCATATGTATACGTATAGCTCATTCAAAAATATGGGATTTGAAACATGAGCAAAAGTTACTCTAGCGTAATGAGTCATTTGACATGACCTAGTTTCAAAGTTAATTAGTGGTGGATATTTCCACACATTTATAACTCGGTAACCATGACGAATAAAATGAGAATTTTAATCATGTTGAATTTGTAAGGTTTGACTCTGTAGTAAAACTTTAATATTAACAATGAGAATTTGTTTAAGCATGTTATATCCCATCGTGACTAGGGATTTTTTTCTAAATAGAGTAGTGCTCCGCATTTGAGCTATATTGGATAATTACCTATAATGTCATAGGGATGGAATGTTCGAGATAGCAATTTAAAATAGAAACTCAAATAATTTGCATTTGTCATAAATTATGACAAATAATCCATCGTGATCCATTGCGAGTGATTCGGTCAAATCTGTATTTGGTTTGGAAGTTCGAACTATAATGGTAAATTTGATCTTCTTAGGGAGTGAATTATCAAGTAGCCAAAACGTCCAATCATAACTGTATGAAAAATATGTGATCTTCGTTACCATAAAATTGGACTTATATCAATCTATATTACGAACATTCATATGTTCATGTTCATGTTACCTGACAGAGTGTATCGTTTCTTCAAGACTGTTAATTTTATATTTCAATACATGAGATTTCAAAATTATTTCACATTGAAAGTGCAAAAGTATCTGTATCCCCTGCTTGTTATCTTCTTGCTATATTCGATTTTATTTTTCTGAGGCAACTCAACCATTTGGATCACAAGGAATCAATCAATCACGTACTAATTCAGTGTTATATGGTCAGACTTCAGCAGTCACTACCTCAAATCTTTGTACACCAGTGACCACCTATCGAACATATGTGTGGAGATTTCGCCACCGTATGCACACAAAGAGGGTCTCTGCAGTCGAGGACGTAATGCAGCGACGGTGCGATGGGAATGTAGAAATAAATGATCATGTTGTTTTGTCTTCTCCACGTGTACGCCCTGACGAGAGCCTACGAAGTTTGAACACCAGCGAACTACGTACACAACTTCGTAGCTGGCGTCTGCGTCACCACGTAGGTCACCAAGTAACGACGGCCAGTGCCTCCGCTATACTTGGCATGGGTTTATGTGTGGGGCAGAATCAGCCAGGGAATTGGTAGTCCCTTCCACCGGGCACTTCCTCGAGGTGGTTCAATTTCCACATGGGAGCTGTGGCCAGTGCAATCGCTGTAGATGTTATTTCTCCGATAGAATACGAATAAATGATCTATTGTTTGTAAACGGTTTGATCAATATAATCAAGGTATTTCAGATGTTTGAACATGTATTTCACATGTTACTTCGTGGGATATAGCCCCATGTAAACCGTTGGGGATCATTGACGGTACTCGTCTTCCCAATAAATATGAAATTATTACTCTATATATGAAAAATAGCGGTATACAGAGATCGTCAGATTTTCACTTTGTCATCGATTTCTTCTGATTTGATTATATTTTGTGAGAGATTAGGCAGAAATGTACTCTAAATAGTGATATCATTTTTAACATGAATTCTTCAACTTGCTTTGCTTAACATGTTTCCAGAAATATGTCCAAATTACATTATAGGATGGTGCATCACATGTAAATATGTGAAGCAATTTTACGTCGGAAATATTGAGTGCTGTAGTACATTTTTCACTTTTAAGATAGTGTGCGAACCTAGACCATGGAAGTAACTGCATTTTTTCATTGATGCATGACTCGGTCTGATCGCCCTTTGCTTTGGAGTTCATCGCAAATGAATAAAGATTCATGATGTTCATTCGCTGAATCTTGTCCAAATGCTTCGATCGAGATACGGCGCACAAGCAGTGTTATCCAGAACGACTTCTGTGGAGTCATGATCCTGTTCTGATGACACGACTTCAGTTCCCTCGACTATCAACTGCGGCAGTTACTCTGCAGGCCTACGAGGTGACTCCATCGTCGAACGATTGGTCCAGAACACGTTGTGCCGATGAATATCAAACGTTGGACCGGATCCATGCACCCCTTCTATCAGAACTTTGTGCATCTAGTCGACCAGCCATGGCACGCATTGACCTTCCAGGCAATGCGGGAGATCGATCCATCATTCGCACTCAATTCGATGATGGATTCAGGGCCGATCAAAACTGCGATCCGAGAACGAACTGGTTCATCGCATGCAGTACTGCAGTTCGTGAGCTGCAGAGCGTCACCAGTCGGTGCTCGATAGGGAGTACCAGAAACTCAGAAGCGCAATGCACGAAGCCGAACCCGAAGGAAAGAAAATTGAAGAAGCTGAAAGTGCAAAGGGAAAGAAGAAGATGAAGATGCAGATGCACCTCCCGGAGCGAGTAGGAAAGAGAATCCCCGACTTGCGCAATCATCATCGAGATTCGGATGGGAGGTCTTTCAGAGAATTCTTTAAACCCCCCCCCCCCCCCCCGAAGTACTACAGTCCAGAAGCCGACAACGCTCGCAAGCGTTCGATACGGCCCCCCCGATGGGACCCGGGCTCGGATTCTTAGATTTCGTGCGGACGCTAGGGTTACCGGGCCGAAGGGTGGAATCTCTCGAGTCAAAGTCAGTGTGCCACATCACTCGTCGACGTGGCACCAGTGACGTCGACGGAGGCCGGAACTCCTACCAGCGGCGAGCGGACGACGACAGAACTTGGGACCGGCCTGACCCACGACCCCGTTCCGGCCAGGGCCGTCACCCTCGGTGATGAGTTAACCGCTCGCTCCGGTTAGATGTGAGTCACCCCACCCCACGACGTTCAACCACTGTTCCGCCGTCCCATTACACCCACTAGGCGGGCGACCGGCTAGAACACGACCGCGCGGCCGACGGACGACTGCCTGAGTGTGCTCGCGGGTGCCTGGCCGACCGGAGACCGGTTGCAGCCGGCCTTCGAGCCGGTGAGGAGATTCGGGAATCAGTAGCGGATTCCCTGGGGCGGAGCGGGTCTGGGCGGCGGCGGCAGAAGGCAAGGCACGAGCGGGCCGGCGGACGGAGTCAGCGGGCCAGCCAGCGTGGAGCAGTCGCCCTGCGGACCGAGACGGAGTCCGTCTGGCGCCGTGCGAGGCAGCCTCTTGGGGGCTGGGGCAGGGGCTGGGGCTGGGGCTGGAGCGAAGTAAGGACGGAAGGAGGGGGGAGCGGGAGGCAAGCAGGTCGCCCCTGGAGGGCAGGGCAGCAGCGGGAGCAGATGGAATGCGCAGGCGCTGGTCGCTGAACGAGGTCGGCACGGGCTCGGGGACGGCGACGAGATCGATCCACGCGACGAGCAGCAGGAGGAGGAGGAGGAGGAGGAGGAGCAGCAGCAGCAGCAGCAGCAGGAGCAGTGCAGTGTAGCAGGTTTGGGTTCGATATCCCGCGCGACGGCGAAGAGAAGAGTGTCGCGATGATGGTGATGCGCACATAGAGAGCTTGAGGTCCAGTGGCCGGATCGCCGGATGATTTTTTCCATCTCGTGCTCTTGAATTTTTAGGCGAGGCGAGGCGAGGCCTCGAGCCCTCGACGACGACAGGCGGGCGGGCGGGCGGGCGTGCGTGTGTGTCTGTCTCCGTGAGCGAGGTTGTCCGGGATTAGGTAATCGGTCCATCAATCGGCCTCTGCCGGAGGTTTTCTCACGGGCGGAGCCCTTGGAAGAAACCGGGCAGTAGCCATGCAGGCTCTTCAGAAGCTGCGGCAGCTGGATGCCTTCCCCAAGATCAATGAAGACTTTTACAGTCGGACGCTCTCTGGCGGTGTGATTACCATCGTCTCCAGCATCGTCATGTTGTCGCTCTTCATTACCGAACTGAGTACGTGTGTTTTTTAAGCTCTGCATCTTCCTGCTCTCCTGGCTTCAGCTCACTCGATGAAGCGCTCAATCTGCGCTTTTTGTTTCAGTCAGGAGATCGATAGTCATCTCTGTCATCCTGGCCAACATCGTCAGACGAATATTTTCGCATATCACTGTCTCAGTTGAGCTCTAACAGAAATTGAAGGAACTTGTCGGGGGATTCGTTGTTTTTCCAACTATTTTTTCACCTCTTTGATTGGAAATCGCTTGCTGCAGTTCATGTGTCAAATTCGATGCTCATGCTCATTTGGGGGAGCTCAAAAAGGATATGTAATATTTTTGAATTCTAAATTTAGATATGATACTACGGAACCACAGAAAGCCCAATACCTCATTCAGTGATTATCTGCAAGGAATGAAGTAATCTCCCAACTTTGTGGGAGGCTGCTTGTTCATAGTTGATATTTTTTAGGGGTCATTTGTCGTTGCCCAGTCCTGCCGTCTCTCTATCTCTATGGCGCCGCTTGCCGAACGCCTTCAGAGAATTCTGGAATTCGATGGGCGTGGGGTTGTCGGGTCGTCTGGAACAAAGTATTGTCGTCATGAACACACAGTCAGTTAAGATGGAGGGCTTTACAAGGAAGACTCCGAGATATCCTGAATGGGGCAAAGCTGCTGCCTTGTGCTCAGAGATCCACAACTTTAACTTTGTTTTTTCATTAAATATTTTTTCTTTCCATTATCTTACTACCCGAAAAGGACAGTCAATTGCAGCCACGTCTACCAGGAGAGCGTTTTTGCCTGATCTAGATAAGTATTGTAGGAGTAATCCACGAATGTGTGGAGGAAATTGGAAGTGATTTGAAGAAACATCGATGACCTTGATTTGTACTAAGTTTTATGGAGTAAGACACGTTGGCGTTTTTCATTTCCTGAAACCTAAAATGCCTCTTGCAGATTACTACCTTTATCCCACTCAAGAGACACAACTGGTGGTTGATACATCAAGGGGGGAGACCCTCAACATCAATGTGAGTCTCTACGCAGACCTGGACACCTTGTTTTCGCATTTAATAATATCCAGGGAGTGATTGATAGACTGAATATCATTTTTAAAGATGAGGTTCATGTTTTCTTCGAGTTGAGTAATAAAAAGGCCTAAGAGGATAGTGAAATTATTCTTGAATGTTACTTCACGCGGGCGGTTTTTTCCCAATTTATTGCCTGGAGCTTCTTAGTCCGGCCGGGTGGAGATCATTGTGCATCATGTGGTTGGTACATAACAACTACTTTTTTATGTGTGTGCAGCTTGATGTCACGTTTCCAGCCCTAGCTTGTTCTGTCGTCAGTCTTGATGCAATGGATATCAGTGGAGAGCAACACTTGGACGTGGTGAGTGTTTGCCCCTTTTCGTCAAAAGAACCGTAACAATTACGGTTCTTTTGACCTATACACGAATGCAAGTTTAACCTTCTAAGATAACGTAATCATTTTGTCTCTCCTAGTAGTGCTTCTGTCATAGGTACTTGTTTTTGTTCCTGTGTCTCTTCAACCCCTTCGTCATATTCTAATTCTGCTCTTACTCTTATTATGCTTCTGCAGAAACACAACATTTTCAAGAAAAGACTTGATTCCAGTGGAAATGTCATTGAACCACCGAAACAAGACACCATCAACAGCCCAAAGGTTTGTCTTCGTCCAAAGCAGCCAACAAGAATGTTCCTCAAGTGTCATCTGCACTTATCACCATAATATTTTGTCACTTAACCTACTTTTTCGTCAATATATGTTCTCGTCTGGCGTTCTTATTCGCGGAAGTCTGTGTTGGGTTTGTTTCTAATTCTGCGTGAAAATTTCATATTGTTGAGAATGTTTGAAAACGTCCTATCTTTTGAAAGTGCTTTCAAGGTGTGTCGTATCGAAATACATAACTTCAATAAGGTCAAGTAGATGCTCAGTCTTTCTAGGGTTGTGTGTTATCCTACTGTTATCCTACCAAGGGCATTTGGTCTAGTGGTATGATTCTCGCTTCGGGTGCGAGAGGCCGGGAGTTCGGTTCTCCCAATGCCCCACCTGTTTGAATCTAAGTTCCCTCTTCACACCGAATAATGCAGATTGAAAAGCCTCTACAGCGGCATGGCGGCCGGCTGGATCACAATGAAACGTACTGCGGATCTTGCTTTGGTGCGGAAGCGGTGCGTGGACACGTTTTCTGTCATGATTTTTGGTTGGCCCGGTGTTTATCACAATGATGAATCGCGTACGAAACAAAAAATATACAGGATGCTTCGAATTATGAATGGTATTTAAATTTAGTAGGTCGTAGCTTGATTTAATGATCAAGATTTACAGCAGATGTGCCTCGTCCTAACAAGTGTAGGATGAATATTTGCCAGGCTGATGATGACTGTTGCAACAACTGTGAGGAGGTTCGGGAAGCTTATCGTCGCAAGGGTTGGGCATTGACAAACCCCGACTTGATTGACCAGGTTGGCTCCGGGATTCTCTTATCTGTAGATTTTTGTAAGAGTGACGTTTGCGAGCTTGAGAAGCTTCAAACGCACGAACTGCTAACTAAATGCATGAATCGATTGTAGAGCAGGTGATCAGTTAGCTATGTTAGCTGTTCCTTCTATTGTCTCACATTCACCTGACAAAATTGTAGCCCAAAGACTGCAGCGTGATACCCCTAATATTATTACATATTATAGCGAATGCCTGTTCAAATTTCATGACGGTCCCGTACCGCACGTAGCCACAAAGATATGCCTTTATGCAGTAGATGGATGTTCACTGGCTCCAGTTCTCTGCTGTGGCGGGTGGCGTTTACAACTAGGCCTGTTCAAGGTGGAATGATGGCCTGTTTCAAGATATTTGTGAAGTGAACTAAATACCTAAATGCAAACGCTCGTATCTTGTGCAGTGCAAGAGGGAAGGGTTTTTGCAGAAAATTAAAGAGGAGGAGGGAGAAGGTTGTCAAGTATACGGAACATTGGAGGTGAACAAAGTTGCCGGGAATTTTCACTTTGCGCCAGGCAAGAGCTTCCAGCAGGCAAACATGCACGTACACGACCTACAAGCTTTCCAGAAGGATAGTTTCAATGTAAGTTCTTCAATTTAGAATCTCTGGTTTAGAATTAAACTATGAGAAGTAGCAATGTGTGGACTTGTGTATTAAATAAAGTGATATTATCAGCATCTTAAATAATATCGAACATGTGCAAATGTGGATGAATAGTTTGATCACTGACATTCATACATCTCAATCGTTCATGCAGGTAAGTCACAAGATACACGAGCTTAGCTTCGGAGAACATTTTCCCGGAGTTGTTAATCCGCTGGATGGGTAAGCAGAGCAGAGCAGCCCTTATTTCTCGAAGTTAATAACAGCTTCGAAGTTATTACCTTAAAATGTATGAAGTGTTTGTACCTTTTTATCGTTAATCCTGTCTGATTAAGTCGTCTGGTGTAACCTTAGTGTGGAGCGCACTCAGGAGAGCATGAACAGCATGTACCAGTACTTCATCAAGGTAAAGCTCTTACCATATTGGAATAATCAATGTGATCACAATGTAAAACAGTTAGGCAATCGTAGGATATGATCATTTACATCTTATTCGTCCACTTTTGAAAAAATGGCGAGATACTGCCACGTTAAGTTTTGGCCTCAGTTCTTTATCTTCAAGTATTAACAGCTTCTGCTTGATGCAGGTGGTACCAACCATGTATTCGGATATGACCGGGCGCAAGATATTAACGAATCAGGTACTTGACATGTATAAACAGCCTTTGCATGCCTTTCTCGGCACTAGCTCTCTGGCTCGGAAGAAGTACTAATGATTATTGAAAATTGCAGTTTTCAGTAACGGAACATGTTAAGGGGCCCGAAGCTGGTACCGGTCGATCACTTCCTGGAGTTTTCTTCTTTTATGACCTCTCACCAATCAAGGTGAGAAATTTTGACTAGAGCCTTTTGTTGTGATCCTTCTGTCTTATGGTAGAGGTAACAATGACAATTATGATGTTCTTCATCGCTGACACGTTTTCCGAATGTCATGAGGAGTAAGTCGACACTGATGCACTCAAGGATGATCCCACTGTATACGTTTTAATGTTGTCTCGTTGTAATCGATGTAGGTGAACTTCACATCGCAAAGAACGTCGTTTCTTCACTTTTTGACCAATCTATGTGCCATCATCGGAGGTACGTGCGTGGGTCCTATTACCGTTTCACCAAGCCTGGCCACGTAGATGAAAGCGCGAATATGGTAATGTGAGTTGTAAGGAGCATTTTCGACTGAGATCGATTCTAATCTTCGCTTGCTGTCTAACAGGAGTATTCACGGTGTCGGGAATCATTGATGCCTTGGTGTACCATGGACACAGGGCTATCAAAAAGAAAATCGAGATCGGCAAATTAAGCTGATCGAATAGCCAGGATGAAACTTTTGTTCCTTGGTGAGTGGATTAAAGCTCTCAATTGAAGGAGCTTCTTTGCCACTTATTTGGAATGTCGGAACGTTGCTCACATCATTCTTAGGTTGCAACACATTTACTTAGTCCCTTCCCACGGTTCAGCGCAGTAACGTTATTCCTAGAAGTCAGGACGGAGAAGAAATCCTGTTTTTTTTTCCTCGACTCAGCAGGTCAGCACATTTGGAGATGAGGGAAGTGATTTAGGCAGAAGGGATGTATTGAGAATCAAGAAGGCTGCTGACTGTGCAAAATCCCTTGAAGAGCAATCGTTCTCGTGTACATGGTAGCCCTTGTATCCTTCGTCTCAACTTCCTGTTTTTTCTCTGTCCTCAAGTATTAGTCCACACGACTCTTTCGGGTGGCTGCCTTCATCGATTGCAGTTCAATTTGTGTAGCGAATTCGGAGTTCCATCTGGTATGCAGTGTCTTCGACTGTACATTCTGAGGATGTATTTATAGACTCTGGATGGAGATCGCATTACTTCTAACATTGTGTGAAGATGCTATAATTTTGGTCATTATGAACGACAGAGAGTGTGTGATTACTCCTGCCTGTCACACAAACATGTCTGAACATCATCTCAAAGCAGGAGTAATTGTTGTATTTCTGTACCCGAATATGGACTTCGTACGAGGTTGAAAAGTCTACCATGTCGTCACCCGAGCTATAACTAATGGAAATATCTGTCCTATATTGGGTGTGGAGCCTCTGGAGGACTTCTTCAGTAGGATCGTTTATGGCCAATTCTTTAGTAGTTGCCGATGGGCTGGAATGTAGTGCTTATGATTTTTAATATGAAGCTGTTCTCAGAGCGGAATCATTAAACTCTTTATTGAAATGAACGACGCCAAAGTATGCAGGGATTACGTTTCCAGTCTAGTGGCAGGCAAGCACTCGAATGGATAGTGGGTGAGTCCTTACGTTGATTCCATTAAAGAAACCCCTATTTGTATCATGCGACAGTGTTTGTCAACAACGGAAGTAAAAAATCTTTCATCATCTCGGAAATGGATCTGTGCATGAGACACAGATCGATGTTGTGCGGGGAGTCGCAAGCTGCTGTGTGATTAATGCGGAAAATCACATCCATCATGCGCGGAATAATCGGGAAGCTGCTGTTTGTGTCAAACCCACCCGAATAATAGTAGTCAGGTAACCTCCTCTCAGCTGAGGGGCGCAGCTGTGGTTGATAGGCCTCTCTGGGTATGACAGTTGTGTTGTCATCCTACTAACTGAAGCGCCCGAGTTGTATGATAATTTCTGCCCTGTGCGAGTGTAGGCCGTAATGCTTCACTCATGCGTTCTGAAGACTGATCTCAAGGCCAAAGTTTAAAAACGACTCCTCCCATATTGATGCTACTTAAACATAACCTACTCTCGATACTTGACGTGTGCAGATGTGGACACATGAGATATTTGATTCGGTAATACAATCTTAAATGATCCCAATTCAATTGAAAGTTCGTTTCTCAGGTGATGCAGAGACAGATCTTGAACGGATGACAAATCTCCAAGTCTGCTGTGTACATTGACCTGGGTCTGCTCACGGTCACAATGTAAAGGTTGTCAAGAAGACCTTACAAATACCGTTCATCAATGTGGCAAATGCGAAATATTCTATACGACCTGCTGGACCTCAGGCCTCATCCAGCTGAATGGGCAGCTGACATCGGGTGCATCAGTAATTTACACTCTACAACAAAGTCGTCAAAAGGTGACGTTCCCTCCGATTCTTCCCTAGCTACTGCTAAATTGCAAACCTATGTCCGTATTCCGACTGCCCCGTCGGGCCATTCCATCCACTCTTTCTCCTCAGTACTACTGGCTAGCTAGCTACAATTAGTCATCCCACGAGTTATCCCATCCGTCCTTGTTTGATCTTCTCGCAGCCAACCCTTTGGCAGACAAACTCGGGATCAGTCTGGAGGACGATCTGGCAGCTTCCGTATCTTCCCAGTCATCCCACACTTCATCCCATCCTTCCTCGTCCCCGGATCCGGCACTCTTATCGTCCTTCTCGTATGCTGAAGTCGCGTTATCGACACTGCTCGGAAGACTCATTTCCAGTTCTTGGTAGCTGTGTCCAGCCCCAGCCGCATCTCTAGGCCTCCATCTTGCCCAAGTACGCCATATTATAAGTCCACCGAATATCGACATAATGAAGAAGAAGGCTCCAAGCCTCATTTCGGGGGTGACGACTGTGGGCATGCTGGGCATGGAAAACCGGTCAAAATATGACTGACTATCTGCATTCCCGAGAACATCTAGATTGATGGGAACCAGACAATCCCCTTCGCTCGAGGAGATGAGGATAGACGGATTTTGATTTTTTGCTAATAGAGCTTCGTCCGCTATAGAAATGTTAACCTGCATTTGTTGGAACCGAGTCAAGCATATGAGTTTCAAGTGCCCGTTTTCGGAGCTAGTCGAGACTCAGGCATTTTTCAGATCAAACCCCTGATTGTCAAGACAGGACAGGGCTCTCCCTCCGATCCGTCGTTTGAGGAGGACACACAACGAGATTACTAGTACAAGCGGAGAACCTGGATATGAAGATCACAAGCATCAACTTTTCGGAGTTTCTAGTTCTCTTTCAGTGTCGCTGCATCGTGCTCGATGACTTCAAGGCATAAGCTTACCTTCAATGAAGGTTCCCCTTTCCTCAAATGAACTCTTGATGGATCTGCCATTAAACCGATGGGCGTTGTGATTTGAACGTCCAAAACACCTTCTCCATCATTCCGTAAGGACAAGGTCAATGCTTGAGTTCCTGCTTACAAATGTCATGACGGTGGTCTCAGCACGGCAACGCGATAATACATGAAGGCCAACCATTAATCTGCACGCCAACTGTTGGACACTTATGGAGGCAAAGACACAAGACCCACATCTCGACTGGAAAACACAGAACCCTGAGAACGATGCTGATAGAAGATATATGATCCGATCTCCTTTTTGAGCGTGCCCTAAACCACCAGAGAAGGCCTTCGGGGAAGTCCACAAAACTTACCATCGCCAGAAGTCTGCAACAAAGTGACGAGATTCTTCCCCTCTTCACAAACATTGTATTTGCTATCATGCGTGTCCTGGTGTTTGCCGGACTGATCCACCGGGTCTACAGGCGTTCCCTTCACGGGCTCTGCTGGCGTCTCCTTTTTCTCTGTATCCTGGTCTTCTTTGTTTTCCTCTTTCACCGGTGGCGGGGATGGGTCATTGACCTTCGGTGGCGGTGGAGAGGCATCGATCTTGCCTTCCATGACTGGAGGACTGTTCTCTTTCGGCGGTACAATCGGAGGTGCATGTGGGGGTGCATTGTCCGTGCCGTTCTTTGCTTCTTTACCCTTTGAAAGATCAGGGTCCTTAGAATCCCCTTTACTTTGCTCTTCCACATCTTTCTTCGCAGGATCATGCGTAGTTGAGTTGTCTTTGGGAATCTGTAAGATGCGGAAACCTTGGTCAGCACCTAAACTCTATCAAACTCAATGCCACAAAATCACCCTTTGAAGCGAGGGTGCTCAAGTCAGTAATTAGAACACTGCTCTCCGAACCAGTTTGAGAAACCATTTCTTCGGTGTTATTATCACCATAAAAACCAACCAACACGAGGGTAATCCCAAAATACAGGCAAACACCCCACGCTGCACAGTCCCCCAGAATCTCCAAAAAAATAAAATTATAACCGAATAAGAAAGAGAAGAAATGTGTGAAACGTGACTTCCTCCTGCACCAATATTGAGAGATCAAAGACGAAGAAAGGGGCAGAGTGCGACAAGGTGTTGACTTTGAAGAAGTCAACTCCTGTATACACCACAAAATCTCAAAGGACTACATTTATGAGAGAGCAGCAAAAAGAGAGCCAAGTCTGTGATCAAAAGATCCTAATTATTGACCACCGAGAGTAAATTCGAAGGCCTTCGTAAAACAACAGCCAGCCATGTCCTCAATGGAGGTGTCTGTCAAACCCTTTGGACAGCAAGCTTCCGCCCCGTTAGCAGAACGGAAAGAAGGCTCGTAAAATTGGCCCTCGTTTTCTTCAGTCTTAACATCAAAATCATCCCACTGATAAGAAGGAAACAGTATTCACCAAAAATGTGCTTAATCGTCCAAATATGGCTGGCTAGAGTGCTGGACTGGATTGAAGTTTAAAGTTCTTTGCGAAACTCGGAGAATTATTACTGGGAGCCACTTTCAAAGGGAGTTAAAGGTTTGAATTGTTAGCTGTCGAATAAATTTTGGTCACTCAAGCGCAAACGACATTGTTCCCTGAAGTCCAAGAAAGAGCGATGGACGTCAAAGGCGTCAAACTTAGTTCGCAGCCGCGCAAGCAATACTTTTGTTAAGTCTCGTTGTTTCTCCGTCTTGGTAGTGACGCCAACGAGACCAGAGGAATGAGCAATGAGATTGATCGCGACCGCGATCGCAATCTTGTTTCTATGAAGCGATTAGACTGACCTAAGCAGCCCATTCGGGTCATGGGCAAGCGATCAGCGTGATTATTTCGACTTCACTCAGATAGACAGATTGTACTCTTGCAGGATAGGAGAGGAATGGGATGGTGCGCACAGACGTCTAATGGATCAGGAACCAGGACAACTTTCACACCGCACGACAGACGTACCTTGTCGCTGCCATCTTTCAAGGAAGAAGGGGCAGGCGAAGAATCTGCTTCATTTTCCAAGAGAGATCGAAGTCGATGGGATAAAAACGCCTGGATCTGGGAAGAAAGGGCATCCACTATCGATGAAGGTAATGAGGTTCCGAGCTTTTCATGCCAGCAGGAAATTCCACCTGATTCCATCGCGCTGCGATGAGAAACTACGACGACCTGGTCCATAAGATCCACCAGCTCACTAGAATCTACAAGAACACCGTTCTGCGTTTCGAAACCTCCACTCCCGAGGTCACACAGGAAGTCCACTCGCTCGCTCCCATCCGGCAAGCTCACTTCGAAATTCAACAATTGGCGCTCGCTCTCGACGGCTCCCCGGCCAGCGACGACACGCCATAAAAATAACACCGCCAGATACACCCAAGCCACGCGCGACGTGGCGCCCAGGTGCGCCATTCGGGCTCGCGCTAGCGCTCGTGCTCGTGCTTCGAGTTCCTCCCTCTCCCTCTCCCTCTCGCCGAGCCCCGCCTTCGCATTCAGCACCACTCCCGAGCCCTACTTCTACTTCTGCTTCTACTACCGCTGCCCTCAGTCAGACATCGACGAGCTCGTCCTTCCTCCCGCTTCCTCTCCTCTCCTCCTCCACATCAACGAATCGGACCTGGTGATCGACTCCCACAGCTGCCAGCCCACGAGCACGACCATGTGCCGATCCGCCCATCCGAGATCTGCTCCCATCAAACACCCGCTCCATCACCCCTCGTCATTTCCATCGCTCCGCCCTCTCACGCCGGAAGAAATCCGCGACCTCCTGCTTTGCCCATCCCTTCGCCTTCACAGCCCTCGTACTCCCCTCGCTTCGCTAAACCTCCAGCTCCATCTCCATGTCGAGCTCGACCTCAATCTCGACCTCGATCTCGATCTCAATCCCGATCGCCCATTCTCTGAGGCACGAGGCCGCACCGTCGCTGGCAGGGTTTATGGCAGCGCACGAGCACGAGCAAGAGCAAGCGCAAGAGACGTTTCGCTGCCGCTGCTGCTGCTGCTGCGTTCGAAGCACACAACGTGCCGATCGATCCTCGCCCTCGCCCTCCCCCCTCGACACGGAAAAAGCGTCCAACCCGCTGTCCTCCCCCTTCTCCCCACCCCGCCACCCCCGGAGGGGACTGGGGGCGGGGGCCAGTCCGGTCCGGTCCCGGCCCCGGCCCCGGGGAACGACCGCTTCTCGTCAGGGACGATGCGGGTCCCACCCAGTGGCTCAGCGTCCTTCATTCGTTCGTCTTCGAATATTCTCTTCACGCAACGATGCTCTGCAAGTCTTGATCGAACTATAAATTAGGGAGCCACGTTCTGTGCGACCTTTTCATGTTCTTCAGACCTCAGATACTCATTCATACCATTCGTCTAAAATATTCTTTGAAAAACTTTACAAGAAAGTAGCGATCTTAACCAAATGAGTTTATCTTATGTCTTGACTCGTAATTTTATTATTTAATTCTTCAATATATAGTATATTCACACAACTGTATATATCGATCATTTGTTAATTTGAAAAATTACAGTTTTTTAGATATTTTATTTAAAAATGACATGACACATGATAAAAATAATTAAATATTTTCGAACAAAATCTATCTAAATATATTGATTGTTATATTTTTATATGTAATATTTCGATATGTATATCAAAATATATGAGAACAATCAACATAATAATCAAACTTAGATGTTGAATGGTACATTATGTATTCAAATCATTGCTCATTGTATTCTACAATCATGTAATCAACATTCACAAATCATTTGCTTAACAACAATATAATAGTTGATTAAATCTTTAGTTCACAGCATCACATAGAGTAAATTGACCACTAGCTAAGTTTCAATTTTTCAAAATGTTCATAATATATATAGATAAGTGGAAATTTTATAAGAGATGGAGAAAAACGTTACAATTTTCTTTGTCATATATGAGTTTAACGACCAATTCAAATATTTATATAATTTGAGCTCAAAATTTGCATATATTATTTTTTTGGTATAAGAAAGATCCAATTTTTTTTCCGTTTTATTTCTAAAAGCATTGAAGATCAAAGTTTGTTAATATATAATATTTGCATCAATAATATCATGCTAATAATTATAGACATGATTAGTTCATTATATGCTAACTTCCAAGAAATTTTTTGAATGCGTACGTCTTTACATTTTAATATTAATTCTTCAATGACAATTTACAGTCTTTATATGAATTAAACATGAAAGATTTGTATCTCAAAAAATCTGTATCTTATATAAAAATCAATGTTATAAAATTGTGACATTGATTTAAATTTAATGATTATAATGATGTCACAAGGTTATTGATGAACATACAAAACTCAAACAACTACACAAAGAAAAATAGTGTAAAACCGTGTTGTAACATCATAAAATAATTGTGAAACGTCGTTATATTTTATATCCTTGAATTTTTTACTAATTTACTTTAATATGCATAACTTGTTATCAATACTGACATTACATAAAACTCATTTTACACAATGTTACTGTTGATAGATTCGTTGATAATTTTTGAATTGGTAGATTCGTGAATGTTATTTCATTTCGTAAAAATGTGTTGGACCTAAATTTATATTACTTTTCATTCATAAGAACTTAGAACACATAATACAGTACTTCATTCTAAATAATTTAAGGTAGCTTTCCATATTGGATATAATCTTCAAAAAGACCGGATAATGACTACCGCGAGTTCAATATTGTCTCGTGATGACTGGAAGTGAGCTTCAGTGTAACTATGGTCCACATGTCGGCTTCGATCTCGACAGGCCCCCGAGTCTTCAATTCGCAATACTCGAAGAAGTGCGAGAAAGTGTCAACTGCAGCAACGAGAGGGAAAGCCCAGAGATGAAGATTGAAGCTAAACTACGGGCCTGCTGTTCACGTTTCCTATGATCGATATCATACTGATCGCACAAAGCCAACACTCCAGACGAGCCTAGACCGGTCTAGATTTATGTTAATAAGTATTGAGATAAAATACTGGATCCTGATAACGCATGACCCTGAACTTCTGAGAGTTCGAGAGTGGGACAGAACATAGTGATCTCGAGTCATCTACATGTATACATAAACATTTTAGATATTCCCAATTTGACGAATTTCGAGGATATGGCGACCTGTTATCTGTCACCGTAGATTGCAGTCAAGTGTCGCTCTGTCATCGTTGGTTGGAATTTCTTCTCTCTACCCGCATTGATAGTCCATCAAGTTGCTCTTCCTGTACTATTGTAACTGCATAATCTTCTTAGACAATGGGTTGTCTTCACGAGAAATGAAACGCCACATGTTTAGTATAACTTTCAGGACATTCATTGAACAGGGGACTCTCATCAGGGTGCATCATGCTTGTGTTCAAGGTCTTCACCACCCAGACTTCGAACACTTCAGTTTCGAGCAGGCCTCAGGTTTTGAAACCCAGGCACACCACCTGAATCCATCTGCTGTCGGCAACTTTTGAACCTGGAAGTAGTAGGAATACCTACCCGGGGAGAGCGATTCACGAAATAGATGTGAGGGCATGTAGAGATAAGGGAAGTGGGTAACCGCTTAGATAAATATGTGGATAAGGGTAGAGATGAGGAAAGTAGTGCCGGTAGAGAGAGAAAAAGGGGTCTGCGTTGTGAACATCATGAGTTCGATTGATGGTGACGTCTTTTACCCAATTTAGAGATCGATGTAGGAAGCGACTTTGATTCCTTCTGGGCAAGCATTCAAGACTTGGCTTTAACGTTGAACAACAATCATCCACCTTACAAAGCATGCGGACCAGCTGGAAAGGCCATCAAAGTATTCGGATGAACTGAAGTGTAGCAAAGTGTAATGGCTATTTCATACATGGTAGATCTGGGCAAAAAAATCGACCATTCACATGCACACGGACTGCGTAGATGTTCAATGACTGACAAACAATCATGAAGAAAGATCGTCGACAGAAGAATAGTGACGGCATCTACGTGAGATGAACCTGGATCGGAAATCCTTTTATCAACTTGAAATGACCTTCCTCTGCGATGGTCATACTCTTGAGTTTTCAAATTACAGAGAAAATTCTTCATCTGATAAAATCGTGGTCTTTAAACCCTCACAAGTAGAGTCTGTAGTTTCTCGCGCTACAGACATCTGGTTCTTGCGGCAATTGCCGCATAGCTATGCCTTAGAAACTGCCCACAAAACTTTCCATCATGCAGAATAGAACGGATAGTCTTTGACAAGAAGAAGGCTTCATGAGAGATCGATCTACTACAGGGAACAAATAATTTAGTTGCAGGTAGAGCCTACATATAATGAGAGAATGTATCATGTACACAGAATCCAGAATAATGAGTCAGGTCTCAAAGCTGGTTCGGACCATCATCACCAAGAGCATCTACGGTGACGTATTTCACCTGCCCGGTCCTGCTGTGTCTGAATCTCGAAAAGTACCAATAAACCAGACTTCCAGACGCTAGAACGACAACGAATGCAGAAATCAACACGGCAGACTCCACTCTGTGGCTGTCCCACCACGATGACCTGCTTCCAAAGAGTGCACGAAAACAGACGAGCGATAAGCAATCATCACCTCAGAACACGTGATCTACAACACAGAACACATGGTAACCTACTCATTTCTCAAACAAGTACCAATATCAAACAGATGAATTTCTTCAGAGATACCTTGCATGTATGTCAATGGTCTGGTACAATTCCTGGACTCTACTTCACTAAAGCGCACGATGTACATGGGCACTGTTCCGGAACTTACCTCTCGTCCTCCTGTATCAACCGCCAGTTGACAAGGTTGTAGGAACCAAGATCGTGCAACCGCACTTGATGGTCCTTCAGGCGCACGATTATTCTCTGCATGGGCACTTCGACGTCAGGGCTATTTCTTCTGTACATAGAAGTTCAAGAAACTCTTTTTCTGCCTAACCCATTCCCAAAGTTCGTGGCTGTCAGATATATAGACTTTGGACTGGTGAAAAGAGTGTCATTGTCAAAGGACCACAAAGTCCGCTCACCTTACCCGAAAATAATATGGACTGAATCGAAAGAAATCAAAAAAACGAAGACGTATCAGCGCCCATTTATAAGGCGACAAACACAGGCAAAAGGATCTGACGAGTTGGCTCACCTGAACGATACTTCCTGGAAGAGGAGAGCCAGAGGGTGGCCTGACTGAGCAAGTCACAGCGACATCCTCTCCTTGCTCTTCATAAGCAAGCAGTTTCACCTACAATGAATAAAAGAGTGAATGTAGGATAAGGAGTGACACATTGTAGCTGACCGGCAGATTGAAGACCCAAGAACTATATCTGAAATCGATTCCAAACTAGAATTGCATTGAATAGTTCTCTTGACGATTGATGAGCGATAGGTTCTAGTTTCCTTTCCTTTGCGGCGCATGGAGTCTTCTTACTACAAACTATCACAAAGAAGTTGAGTCTCACCTGCTTGGGATCAAGCTCAAGATCACGGGCCATGTCTGTCAGAAATGCGCCTGAAAGGGCAGCAAAGGTTGTATAATTCGAGTTGACTGACATATTTAACTCAACTCCTCCGATATGCGGATCTGTAAGGGAGAGAGATAAAAAGTATAAAATAAGTTGTTAGACAGTAAGTATGATCGCCGGAAAAGTGGAAGTAAAGGGGTATAAGAACAGAAGAGCCTGAAATCTTGTATTCAAATCTCAGGGTGCATCCTACCTGTTATTGGCAAATCATCGGTGGAAGGAGAATCTTGGGTGGCGGAGGAGCTATCTTGATTTTCGTCTCCGTTGCTTGGTGCTTGTTCAACTGGTGGTGGAGGTGGTTCAGCCTTGGGTGGCGGAGGAGCTGAATCCTCTTCACCATTCATGGCAGCAGTCAAGTGAGTCCAGAGATCCGTGCACTTAGTGCGCCAAAACCCGATTTTCTTGCTTTCGCGGTCGTAAGTCACAAGCATATTTCGTACAAATATTCCTGCAAGATGAAGCCAAAATTAGTTCTAGCGGGAAACGCACCTAATAGTAGAACACGTTTTCCAACAGATTGAATGACTCCTTCACTGTCAGGGCCACCGACACATACACATTACCTCCAAGAAGTGTTGTGTGGTCATTTTCATTTTTAAAAACACCAAGACAGTACGCTCCTGGGACTGTCGTGTGCTGCAAAATCCAAAAACTTCTTCAGATGCCTTGATACTTATGAAGACAGGTATGCCGAATATATTGCCTCCGCCTAAATAGACTCAGATATATATTGAGCATAGATGCTTGAGTAAAAAAAAATCTCGTGAGATAATTGTACAAACCCGAAATAGGTAGTTCTCTGGTGCCAAAGACAAGATATTCCCCTCTCCAAATACAAGATCAACGGTTGGGAAGAACTTCGTTAACTCCGCTGGTTTACTGCAAAGAAAGGTATGGACCAAATTCAAAGTATATACAACATTATGACATCCGCATATACAGTAAAAAACATGGTATGACATCATAACAAAGAGGCACGTTCATTGACACTAGGCTTCACTATTTCAAACGTCTTGCAAACTTCGTTTCAGAGGCCTCTCGACTGGCCCAAGATACCTGCTTGCGTACAAGGCAGATCATCTTTGTCTAATTGCAACCCAACATGTCCACCCTAAACACTTTCACAGGTACTCTTCCCAGTAACAACTTTCTAACGAACAACGTTGCCAAGCTTAAAATCCTACTGGGCATCATCCCAAGACAAACTGTGTGTAATCACGTTACCTGCCAGCACCTGCAAAACAGAAGTCCTCGTACATCGGATCAGGACCTGCCACTGGTTGTAGTTTGCCCAACTGTTGGAACACCTGCGCACAGAATGACATGGCACAGTTAGTGAAAGAAAAGACACAGAACAAAAATGTACCACGGAGGCCGATAAAAGATAGCTTGGAAACAATGACGATCCGTAATCCTTGACTCCTATTATACTGCTCGGAGCTACATTAAATATTGCAACAAAACTTTTCTATCAAGATTTATCTGTCGGCTAGAGAAATTGCATGAATGCTCGAACCCAGTGTTCTAGAGAACATGTGCCCACGAGTATTAAAGAACCCCGCACATAATTACGGTGATAAATAGAGAATCATTACCGCCTTCTTGAACTCCACAAAAGCAGTTTCGGGAAGATATGCATATGTGGTGCCACTATCGAGCACAGTCCCGAATCGTGCATCGAACACACTCTCGGCTACAGGAAGAGGCGTTCCCGCCACCTTGATCTGCTTCAGGACGATGTTGTAGTACGGACTGCACGTTGCAAGACCACGTGTTGAGCAAAAAAATTTGAATACAGAAAGCTCCACAACACTTTGGCGAAACAAAGTGTCTAAAAAATGGTGGAAAATAAAGAACACAACATACTGAAAGTTGAAGGTATCTACGAATGCCAGTAAGGAAAGCTACTCTCTAGCCCAATCACTGGAAAGAAGTAAATGAACGAAAAGGAAATCTCTGTATGCTGAAACAATCAGGAGTTGGTAAGCTTAAAAGGCAGCACATAACCTAACCTGAAAAAAGACGTAATTTAAGTCTTTCGTGGCCGTAACAGGAAACTAATCTATTGTCACTCACATGGCAGAATGTTTGGACACGATATGTCATATCGTGGCCAAACATCCAGGAATCAGTCCAACATGTGATTGATCTCAACTGACATCAAGTGGTTCAAAGACGGGAAATCCCTACCTATTTTCAGAATACTGATCTGGTCAGTGTTGGATGCTATTGCGGCAACTTCAGCTGCCTCTACGTTCAAGGGCATGGTAACATCCGCAGAATTACAAAAGGCCACATTTGAGTTGCTCTAGTATCGAGTCTGATGAGTAGTCAAGAGAAGTAGGATAGAACGTCCCGTTCACTTCGAACTTCCCATGACAACTGTACATGATGTCTTTGTAAAAGAGTTCATGTCTAGCTCACCAATAAACTTATCAGGATCGATCAGACTACGTTGAGTGGGGTAAAAACTTTTAGGCCTTATCTTTCGTCACCACAGTCATGACAGGGGTGTTATAACTTGACGTACCTGCGATAAGGACTTGAAGCAGTGAAAATCATGCTCTTAGGGCGAGGAAAATCACCCATGATCATGGCACCTCCAACATCATCCATTCCTCCGTAACACAACGAAAACACATCTGCCATATCCTTCTCTTGTACTAGCTGATCCACGATACTCAAAGGTCCTCGACCGAGACCCATAATACCGTCAGCCTTTTGATAATACAGATCTCCAGTCTCGTCGTTCTCGCATCCAAACATAAGCTTCGGTTTGCCAAGGTTACTAGCATCACCGAATCCTATTATGTCTTTTCCCAATACTCCTGCACTTGTACTCGACTCCGCATACTGCCTTTCATATTTACATTGTTTATCTTTGTCGCAGAGCCCAGTTTGACAGCTGGGTGACGTACATTTGATGATTTCGTACGTGCTTGACGCATCAGGCTTGAAACTTGGATCCTGGACAACAAAGTTTTACGACTGTCAGAACAACGATGGTCCAATCACGATCAGCAATCACACGCTTTCCTGTAAAAGACAGTCCCATTGGATCGATCGCATACCACTTGCGGCACGAAAAACTAGAAGGTTCTACATTGGAGGTTAATTGAGGTAAATCGAGAATCAATTGAGGTAAACCAATGTAGAGCAGGATCTCGCCTGATGACTCCCGCAGTGCGTGCAGGTTGAACAGGGAACGTATGTGACGGTGCTCCCCGTGTCCACTATGAGCGCAAACTCGTGTGCGGGTGTACCGATGAAGAGGCTGCTGGTGTAGTACCTGAATCACAAACAGCCGATTGCACATCTTACTCCAGTGCTAGTAAAAGAGTTGAGGTCTGCAATGTGTATTGGGACACACAGAAGTCTAACACCAGGTCAGATTTCTCTTGCTTCCGAATCTGATCCTGACCCCTGTAACCAAAAAAGCCTTCGCCTCACGTCGACTATGACATTACCTGTGAAGATATTCTAGAGACCTACAGCTGGATACTGTAAAGTCACAAAACTGAGCTCCAGAAAGTTCGGGCCGATCGGTAATTGACAATTTGGGCATGGAAGGCGAAGTGAATGTCACAGTACCCTTTAGTGAGAAGATCGTCGTGCAGGGGCATATGTGCATCGCCTACGAGCATCCTCCTTTCCATAAGCGATCGAGAAGTGTTGCCATTTCGTTTCAAAGACAAAACAGTTGCGAAGCCTTTCTCAGTGTGTAAATCTACAAGTCCTAGGGAATGAGGTGCTGATGTGAAGTTTCTGATCGGTGTCGCTGCGGACAACAGAAATAAATAAGGGGTGACGCATAAGCAAAGTACAAGCGCCCTGGTAAAGACCATCGTATCCATCTGTAAGGATCTATTCCTCGACGCAGAATTCTCTAACTGCGTGGCCATCGACCGACAATCTGCAAAACCTCCGACCTCAGGACGTCCTTAGGGGCCGACCCGCATCTCTCCACGCAGAACCCCACCAAGCAGTCCACACAGATCAGAGTTCCCAGATGACAAATTTTCCTTTTCCTCCAACCTGCAGACACTGGACCCAATTCCACCGCTCCCTTCGAGGTCGGCACTGCGTCGCTGTGCGAGGATCGTTGAGATGAAATTCGACAGATCTTCCAACGTGTATGCGGAACCACAGCTCGCAGAAACGTCTGCGAATTCAAAGCAGAAGTCAAATCCTCCTCCTCCGCTGCCCGCGACCGCGACCGCGATGGAGCCGAATCGTCGCTGCGCCAAGAGTCAGTCGGTCCAGCTCCAGAATCCGAAAGAAAGCGATCTCGCTCTCGCTCTCTTCCTCCCTCTCTCCGTCGCTCCCTCGCTCTCGCTCTCGTGTGACGACGACGACGACAAATACAAGCCAATCCGCAGGCCGATTTTTTTGTCAGAAAGTCACCCGCCCGCCACACCCTCGCTCGGAGACAAGGACCAGATCCGGTGTCCGGCGAGCAGTGACACCTTCTCCTGCCTTCCTCCTTCCTTCCTTCCTCGTTGTCTACTTTCTTGCGCGCACTCGATCGCTCTTAACTGAACACACCATCTGGCCTGTCCGACTGGCCCTCGCGCTCCACTCTCGTCAAGGCCCCCCACCCCAACCAACCCTAGCTACAGTCCGCTCTCGCTCAGACCATCTGCTCGCACGAAACCATTGCCCCAATCGCCTGCATCCAATATTCCCCTCGCTCGCTCCCTCCCTCCCTCGCTCGCTCGACTTTCCGACAAAGTCAACTCCCCGGCCCACTTTCTTCGCTCCTCTGCTGCTCCTCCGTTCGCGCCACCACCATCTCCTCCTCGCCTCGCCCTCTTTTCATGTGAATCCCAATCCCGCTCGCACCTTCGCCATATCATTCGTCCCCATTCTTCTCGCCCTCCTCCTCCTCATCCTCCTCCGCCTTCGCCCGTCGATCCATGCTCCTCCCTCCCTCCCTCCCTCCCTCGCAGCTCCTTCTGTTTTCTATTGTTTCGCCTTCTTTTCTCGTCGAGCCCTCGACTCGATTCCGCTTCAGGTTACCTCCCGGGCCCCAGGGAGCAGAAGGACCGCTGAGCCCCAGAAGGACCACAGAGCGAGCACGCCGGTGGCACCACGCGCGATCCCCGCCCGCGCCCCCCAACGCTCGCTCTTCCCCTTCGCTCTCACTTTCTTGCCTTGCCTTGCCTTGCCGAAGCTGGCCTGGCGCCTGTGCCGCCGCCGTCCGTTTGTCCGTCCGTCGGCCGGCCGTCCTATGGCCGCACCGTAGGCCCGTACCGGATTCCCTCCATGCACGTCCGCGTCCGCTTCGCGCACCAAGAACCACTTCGGTTTCGACGTTACGGACGGACCGAACTCCGTAGCAGCACTCTGTCGCTCGGGGGAGCTGTCTGCTGACATGTCTGTCCGTGGTCCGGGAGTTTCGTTCTCCATCGGTCCGTACTGCGTGTCCGCTTCCGTCGGCTTCAAGACTTTCCGTGGGCCGCCGCCATGATGCCCAACTTGTTCTCGGTGTATGCCAACGTCAGTTTTCCGATCTTAAATTCATATCCTTATATTCAAATTATTATTTTTCAGTGACGAACTTGTACATTGACGGTTTTTTCTTTCACAATGAATCTGAATTCTTCATATGATCCTTGTAAAATATAAGTTCGTTCATATACATGTTTTTTATTTCTAAATAAAGTTTCTGTGTTTTACTAAGAACTTTAATTAATATTGTACGTGATTAAACATTGATATTTCGAATACTATTAACGTTTCTAACCAACTTTTAAGGTGAAAGGGTTTAGGGTTCAACAGATATTTGGCTGAAAGGAGTATTAATTATTGCGACTGGCCACTATGCTAAGTTTTTATCTTCGATTGTTGATAAGGTGTTGTATTTATTATTTTCATGTATGCCATCCAAATGTTTGAGTGAATTTGGGGTTCGGAATTTCAATGCCGCTTGCGCTCGGGAGATCCTCGCAATCGCGTTCTCTGTTCTAATGCGCAGGACAGTGGATCGAATATTCCTTGGCATCTACGTTTGAGGTGCATTTCCGTTATCGCCGCCGAGAGTGGAATTGGTTTAATTTCAATAAATTCTTACACGTAGTACATGATGACATTTAGCATTTATGCTTGTGTCTTTTGGGTGAGATGTGGAATCTTAGACCACGCTCAAGCTCCGCTCACAATGTTTTATTTACCAGCGGAAGGAGAAATGAAAGTGGATTTCGAGGATACAACAAGAGAAATTATATCTCTAAGCAGAATTTGGTGAAAACTGTGCCAGTCCTGGTTTTTGTCGTTGTTGTTACGACGGTAAAGTCTTTATTAAAATTCAAATGATTAGAATTCATCATCAGGAATATTATTATTTTTCAATTTAGATTAAATTCTAATTTTTTGTGGAGCTCAATTTGGACTTTCGCAAAACAAGAAAAAAGGCTACGGTTCAAATGGTAATTTTTAAAATATAAATTGAACTTTTAGTACAATAATAAAGGTTGGATTATATTATATCATAGTCAAAAAATATATTCATGGTCAAAATAGTGATTATCTTCGAAGAGGAATGTTCCGTATTGCTACTGCCACACGATAATTAAACCAATCGGATTACACGAGCATCACAAGTTTGATATCAATTATGTGAGTGTGAATATATTCCGTGCAGTGCGTTGTTGACTGTGTCTAACGTAGTGTAGAGTCGAGAGCTCGTCTCGAGGTGGTGAAGGCCCGGACCCATTCGAGAGCTTTACAGCTGGTTCATGTTTCCCCTCGAGCTCATTCATTCTATTGCATTAGAATTAGATGCAAAAGCTAGAGCTATGTAGCTCGCGTGCATTCCACCGATGGTGCTGGAGGAAAGTGCCTCCCCCTCGAGTGGGAATCTGGTTTGTGCGTTCTGGTGCTCACAGCTCTGAGCTGAGCAGCTGGAAGGATCATGAACTTCGCACACCTGCTTTTGTTGCGTCCTATAAAGGTCCGCGAGCGAGAGAGATGGCCCACCAGCTTCCTTCAATCCGTGGAATCTCAACTGACCGCACAACCGATCTCGCTAATCAACAAATGCATTGCTTGTAACATCCGAGGAAAAGTCCGGTGTCAGTGTTCGTGGGTTCCTCACGTTCTGAACAACCACAGCAATGTTCCAAATATTATCTATTCGACCTCCGTGCACTACTGACTGACCGACCCGTCGAGCTATGGAAGATGTACACTACGCATCGAAGGATTTCTTATTGTGGTGTATTTCCTGCATCGGTTGTTTCTCATGGCGGTGAGATTTCCAGCCTTGCGGAGCTAGCTCTACAGGAGCAGCGCGAGCGGTAAAGGTATGGGCATCATCACGCGTGAGCGACTTGACCGACTTGACTCACTCGGGCATTAGAAAACTCGAGCATTAGAGAATGATTGCACTCTTTTAGGAGTCCACGAGAAGTCCGACAAGACCAGGGGACCACGAGTAGAGAAAGGACTGATTTATATATTGGGAGCAAAGCAAAGCAGCCTAACTCGTCGAAGAGATTCCTCTTCCACGTGCGGAGGAATTAATGAAGACAACTGAAGGGCAAATCTGAGCCTAAGATACATGCAGTTGTCTAGCTTTGGAGAAGGGATTCGACCCTTCCTTTCTTCCTCCCTTTGACAAGCTTTGACCACCTTTTCGAAGATGTCTTCATGTCTGTGGAAGCTGTGAGAGGTGGTTCTAAATTGCACGACTTGTTCTACTGGCATGTGAGTCAGTGTCGGAAGAGTCGAAGGCAGCAGACCAATTTGAGAACAAATCGTCATTCTGGTCGCTCATATGCAAAACAGAGCTCCCGGATCCGTCCATTGTTCTGAACGCAGACCAAATCTGCCCGCAACATGGACCTCAATAGACTTTACCTGCTGGATGGTCTCCGTGGTATGTTCTGATCGGTCTATGGTTCCGAAGGAACCAAGGTGCATGGATAGGATGAGAAAGGGAAGAGAATGCTCAGGATTCTTGAGGGACATTCCGCCGAGAAGATGGGAGTTCTGAGGAAACAATAAGACAATCAGGTGAGGTATTTCCGTCGTGGCCAGAGTGGCCTTAAGTCACCACTGCCGCTCTCGCAGGAAGGCAACCATGGTTCGAATGTGGGGACCTCTACAACTGCTATCATCTGTAGGTTCTCCTGTCAGAATGGTCAGGACTATATTCTGACAGGCAGGGAAGTACCTCAGAACAGAAAGAATCAGTCGAACGCCCGAAAATTTTGGAAAATAATTTCTCACCGCCATGATTTCTCATCAGTCATTGTCTGCCGTTGCTCAGCCAGTCGCTAGCAGTACAAGAGAATTGATGCGCATTGTTTCGAAGCTCAAGGTAGAGTAAGAACATAACATGTAAAGACTCCACTCGACTCTTGTATCTGCACTCGTCATTGAGGGTTCCGCCAATGCCACCAAACAGCAGAGACATTACCGTCAGAATGGCAGGCATGAATCAATGAAAGAGCCCAGAATCCGATTCATGCCGTGCTGATCGACCGATGCAAGGATCAAACTTACACAGGTATGTCGAGGACTGAGCAGCAGATGTCCACAAATGTAGCCAGATCCACATCCAATTTCGCGGTTGGGAGCTGGATTTCAGCAAGCTCGTTCTCTATGGATGCGGGCCATTCCTGATGAGCCAAACCGTCAGAATGACCAGAAACGTTCCGACTTTGAGGCAAATTCTCACATCGAGCCACTGCTGTAAAGGTGGAAGTTGAGGCTTCGATCGACTTTCTGTGTATTGCCCACGAGATCCCTTGTAGCGAAGTGAGCCAATAAGGGAAGAGACTAGTATCCCCATTCTGACTGCCAACTTGTGAACACTGGAAGAGCAAACGAACCAACTAGGAGATGTTCCGCATAAGTGAGATCCATAGACCACGGCGACATTGTACGAGCGCGTAAAACGTACTTGCATAAGTTTCTCGACGTCCGGCATCGGTTTAGAGTAGATAACAGTCGGCGGGGGCTTTGATTGGTGCAAGTCCTTTATGCTGTTGATCCAGGCATCCAGCTTTCTGGGGTTTTTCTCTGCGTATTCAACGGATGAAATCTGCAGGACGTGAAACATTAGAACGATCGCAAACACCACAACAGGGCTTAACACTCTACATCAAGTGCCTTACTTTGACGGCCCCGCACATAGGTCGTGGAAACTGGGTTCTTTGAGCAGTAGAATCTGATTGGACAGGTCGGCAAGTCCTCTGCTCACGAGTGGAACCTTGTATTTTTTAGGTCCCAGTTGAAATTTGGTACAACTTTCACATTCATCTTCATCTTCAAACTGCACTTAGTCTTCACTTCATGGAAAGGCAAGGTAATTTGTTGCCATCTGAATTGAATCTAAGATCTCTGCCTCGGTCGAAATGATGCGGGAGGTCAAAAGACTTACAAGCCTAAGACTTTAGTGTTCAGGTTTCCTGATCTGTGTCTGTAAGGATATGTTCGGATGAACAGAAGACTGTCCAGTCAGCGTTCAATTGTGGGCAGATTTCAAGCTTCCAATTACAGCTCTCCTGTATTACAAATTGGTGAGAGGCATGATAGCCTGTGGCCCAGCATTCGTTGGAACATCGGATGTGCCCATGCCTTAGACTGGGGCAGTCTTCGCATCTACACTTCAGATCCATGGGCAAGGTGGGGATGAAGTTCTACAAGTTTATCAACATCCTGGCTCGAATTTGGGATTATGTTCTGAGAGGACAGGACAGGAAGAGACAGGACAGGCAGACCTCAAGCTGAAGCAGATCGGTCTGGTTGGAGGCCGCACGCAGCTGAAGCGTCAGCACTGCCGGATCACTTTGTTTGGTCCCACTCTCATCCAATACCTGCGGCGATCAATTTCAACATGAAAATCTGATTAACCTCTGGGAGTCCAGTCCAGTGCTGCTAGGTGGTGCATAATACTTTTCATTGCTACATCGTGCAAGTACCGGCTGTCGTGACGATGGAGGGCTCTACAGCTGCACACAGCCGGTCGACACTCATGCTCAAATGCCACGATCCAATGAGAGCTCCATCGTCGGATGACAAGCCCGGAGAAAAGCCAGGAAGCAAATCACTGCACTGTGCAGTAAGAGCTAATCTTCTTCTCTGCCTTCAATTTCGGCCAATCATTGTTAGGACAATAGACCTTCACATTTCCAGCTATGACCACCAGTACATCAAACCTGAAATTCGAGTCACGAGAACTGATCGATTTTAAAATGATCGTCATGAACACTCATGACCAGGAGCAAACATCTGGTCATGGAAATTGTATGAAAGTCCATGCTTTGGACCACGTGCGTTGATCAAAATCAATCCAAATCCACGTGGACCAGTGGTACAAGTCGAGAGGTAGCACGCGCATGTTGCAAGGTTCCAATACATGTCGACATCCTTGAACCCTGTGAGATAACATTGGATAGTGATGGTTCCTTAGAGAAAACGAAAATAAGCAGCGGTCATCTGGAAACATGCATCATGGTGTACGTCGGGACAACAACCACTCCAAACCGGACGGGAGTCGACCATAGAGTAATAATAGCAACCTTTGCGTAAGTTAGATTCTCATCATCCTCAACATCCTCCAGATTCACTGCCCATTCCTGCTTGCTTGCTTGCTTTCTTAAAATAAAGCTCCATTACTTCGATCTAAGGATCGTGATCCGATATGTTCTGCAAAAACGTCCGCCTTCTGTGGTACAGAGACATACGTGTGCAGAATCTTCTGTTTCCTGTGTTCAAATGTGCATTTATACCGTATTCAATTACATCGAACTTAACTGAACACTTTATATTCCCAGCGAGAAGATCGGACTGAGGATGAACTCGCTGAAGTCTTCTATGGGGTCCATCCTCTCGCTCCGTCCTTGTTCTCTTGAATGCGCGTTCAGGGACAGATTTGAGAAAGGACCAAAGCTGCTTGTAGAATTTTGGTGGACCAGTGCGAGCTTTAACAGATACTTGCGATACCATTTCTATGTGCTGACGACCAACAGTCCATGATAGCACCAAGGCTTCATCGTTGGGGTCTTGAGCTGGCGAGCTGTTGTTAACTTGGCAGCGAATGGACAAATACAATAGAATATGTATTCAAATCTGAAATTGCAATCACCGTAAACCAGGGAACTGGAATAAAGATGAGATGCACACGCTCACGATAGAACAAATCTGCAATGCCCAGGTTCTAATACTATAAAACATGAGGTTATGGAGTGAACAACCAAATAGTGAGTGTAAGTACTCGCTGTGGTCGTGGAGATAAGATGCTCCAGCAAGAGGTCGTTGATTCAAATCCATAACCCACTGGCTCCTCTCGAGCCACTAATCACTCTCTCGTGACCATTTCCATCCCCGATCTGAGTCTATTCATCACCTCAGGCCACGACATGCGCATGTCGTATGGATGGTACAGTACCACGAGAGGAGGTTACAACTTCGAGGAGGGATGGATGGGTCTCACTCTGGTCCTCTTTTTATAAAGAAGTGTATACAGATTGACCCGAGATATACTGTCTTCCATCGCTCGAGTTGTGCGAATTGGCAGAAGCAAGGGTGCACTGGAGTACCGAGAACGCGGAGCAGACTTCAGTACCCATCTTTATCAGCGACATCAGTCTTCTATGAGGAAAAGCTTGACCACCCCCGGACTTTACGTTATGGACATTGAGATACGTGGTCAAAGCTACAAATTCAGAATATCAGATCTGAATTTTTCATCTTCCTCCAAATTACGCTGAAGTCAATCTATTATTCCAAAGGTCGGTCTCCTTCCGGGGATGCATGCACGGCTACAATACGACCAAGTGGGACGAGGACTTCACCTGGAGTGTGAAGGCCTAGTCACACTCGGTGCGAGGGTTTATGCGATTTCCCTACACGATATACTAGATATCGAGTAAATTCTCTCTTCATCGAAGGAATTTTACATCTGGAGACTTTAAACATCAACTTCTCTGATCAGGTCCATGAAACTCTGGTTTTTCTCCGTTGGCACGATAGTTTGAATCTGAATTTGATCGAAGGGTCAAGGAGAACTAAAATGAATTATACATTTCTGTAGATTTCAACTATACGTCAAGACATCAGGAGAGAGAAGCGTTAAAGTGTTTTTGAGCCTTAGCTATCTTGCTCAGATTACGGTCATCCCCCAGGACAGTAAATCTCAATATCAAATCCAAAGCGTCATGTCAGAGACGAATGCCTAATGCGGAAACAATTTTTAAAAGACTGCAGAGTAAAAGCTCTCAAGTTCGCAGCTGAAGTTTTTGTACTGCCAGATGAAACGCGACGATTCGACCGAGAAAACTGACCAGATCTTTCGGTATCCGTCAATGTGGATCGCGTGTCGAACATGACTGCGTTGATTACGTTATTGAGTGAGGAAAGTGCATTTCCGCTTCGAGTTAGTTCACGAAAGCTTAATCTTCGCAGGCATTGACAGTACCTGCTAAGACCTGCAAGACAGCCGTAGATACCTCACTGTGACACATCTTTGATTATCCTCTTGACCATATACACAGTGCATAGTAATGTTATGAGACGCGGGGTAGGAGCATGCACCTTTAAACCAAGGTAGTCTGGCTGATTATCTGGTCGTGGAACCTTGATGAATTCATCAATGGCACCCACCGCTAGGATATATTCAGGAATGAAAGGCTTCAGTGTAGTGCTTATCTCGACTTCTTGAACCTTGTATGCGCCGATGTAGTCAAAAAGACCTCTTATTTCATCATTTACCTGCACAAAGTCATGAACAACCGATGGCTATAGGTGTTGAGCCAAATCTTCCCCAGCAGTCGATTTGCTTGCCTCTAGCCATTATGATTATGATTATGATTATTTATTAATGGGATATTCTCTTGAATCCGCATTGAGATGAACTGAGTTTAGTCACTGTGTGCAGGTAAATGATACTGAAAGAGGGTACAGCTACCACCTGAAGATGTTCCATGTTGGACGACATCATATGTAAATTGTGAACGAACGCTGCTTCCATCAGACACGAACGCTGCTTCCCAGAAAGAGAAGCTGCTTCAGCTTCAAAGGCACCATGTATATCGTGATGAAGCATAGTTTGTGAGTAATTTTGAGAGCATGGGCCCAACGTATCATGTAGAGCAGCACTGATCCAAGCCATCCATCAACCTAACTCGAGTTCAGATCAGAGGGATAAAAGAGTACCTGGACAGCTTCATATGTACTAAAATACCAAGGCGGCGACGAACCAAAAACTCATTGGTCTAAAGACAGGAGATAAAACCTTCCAAGATTAGCAGATGCTGAGCTTAGCCTTCCTGTCTGCCATAAGACAATCGGCCACGCACAAAGCTGTGAGGACTACGATGCATAGACTCAATTCGCCAGATTTGCCGACGATCTTATAAGATTGCGATAGAGCATGATGTTTCAGCTTTAGTATTTGTTGTGAGGACTCAGCTGGATTTAACAGACCCTATAATAACTACACTCAAAGAAATATGCATCGAAAGGCATTACAGCTGAGCTACATCGAAACACTTCTCATGTTGCAGACAGCGGTCTTGAATCATTTACTTTTCAAGAAATCGAGGGGTAGAAAAATTTGTAGCTCTTGAGTTATATTCTTTCTTCTGTCAGGTCGAATGAACTACCTAGACTGATGTCTTATTTTACCAGAGTCGAAGTTTTCATTGGACCATTTCTGACAGCTAAAAATTGGCAGAAGTTACACTCATTACCGCTGAATGATACGGTGATGGAGGACGTCCAAATATGTCCGCAGTTGTTGCTTGTTGTCCTGACCTCCTGCTCATCACCCTGTCTCCTGAAGCATCATATCCAGCAGAGCAGCAGTTCATCGAACAGTCCAGTGACTTTTGTGCTGAGCTGTAGAGGAGCGACGAGACATGTAGCAAGCCACAAGCTGGTGCACAATTATCAGCGGGAACATAAAACCGAACATGCGAGCGAGGAGCAGAGACAGCAATCTGGAATGATCATTGTCAGCAGAAGAAGAGACAAAACCTCCTCTCGACGCCGGAAGGTCTTGGACGTCGAAAGCTTCTTGGGCTCTTCCTCCATCACTGCCTTGTGACCTTGGCGTAGAAATGTCGGACAACTGCACACAGCTGCCTTTAGTGAGATATGCTCTGAGTCTCGACTCCTATTAGAAAAACACTGAACCACCGGTGTCGAGCCAGCGTGCTGTGATTTTTGGTGGACATATTGACCAGAGACGGGAACAACAGCCGCAGCCTCGAGTGTCACTCTTCCTTAAATCTTCTCTCACTGTGCGCATCCCGTTTGAACGAATGACATCGCAAGAGTGCTTGTTTATCATTCACTTCGGCAACGAAAGGAGGGACCTCTTGGACGAGGAGTGCAAGCAAGCATGGTGATAAGGAATCATTGGAAGGATAGTCAGACGAAGCTGCTAACGTACATCGTCGTGGACTTTGTTGTCAGGGCCGAGGCTTTGACTGCTCGCAGACATCGGCCGAGAGGTCGCCATGAATGGCTGTAGTGCAGTGAGAATTATTTCCTTCCGTCTTTCTTCAATTTAGGGTTTTGCGTAGTTTACAGGTCTGCAGCAGCAAAATGCGTCCCCTCTGGAGTTGTTCGCATCCTCACTGATTCGTCAGCTGAGCTTGTAAAGAGCCTCTGTTACGGTGATGTTCGGTCACTGCATCCACAGCACAGGAAACTCGTTCCTGTGTACATCTGCGTGCCAAAGGTCACGATTTATCTTCACTAGAGTTTGTTGTGGCCCTCCGACCCATATCTTTGGCACGACATCCTCAAACCTCAGCCACTTTAGATCTTCAATGGCTGGCTGCATGATCTTCCTCTCCACTGTCCAGAAGTTACAACTTTCACGGGATCGTCAGAGAAATGAAGATACAGAGGTGCGACGGTTCAGTTTTCTATCGTTCGCCCCGCGCAAATGGCAACTAGTTCTGAGATGTTTCTTGACCACAAGACGTTTAAATGTTTGTGCCCGGCGAACGACAGAAACAAGAATCCACTACATCTGATCAGGATCGTATCATCTCTTTCAGTATATCGGGTTGAGAAAAATGAGCATGGACGACGGCAGCGTAGATTCTGACCCCGCAAACCAGGCAGAAGTTCATGCTCGTGTGCTCAGTGTTCTAGGACGACGAAGCCAGCGAGCATCTCTTGCCACAGCCAAATTTTATAACCATGACAGAGCAGCCTCCACGAGAAATCTGCGGGACTTGTTGAGCACCAAACTGCGACCCACAGCTAAAGAGACACCCGATGGCCTCAAGATTAAAAAGCTCGACTTCTACATTAGCCAAGAAGAAGAACCGCGCCTGAAGATAGTCAAAAGGGACAGTGATTTGGAACCGGAGCCAATGGAAGATGATTATTTGGTCCGCTTGTCTCTAAACTTCGAAAACCTGCCCGTTTCAGACATACCGGTTGGAATGAGTGCAACTGCTAAGCTCTTCCGATGGGAAGAAGGAAAGAACGGTTTTCGGAAACTTGGCAAGGATGATATAAGTCTCGGGCCCGCAAACTACTGTCTCCCTGCGGATCTGTAACATTCTCGTCGCAGTTCCGTTCGGAGCTTTACATTACTGTCGGGTCAAGCAGATTATATGTTGTTGTCGATTCCTATGGCTATTGCAGGAGGTCGATCTACAAATTGGCAGCGTTGATTATTTTAGCAGATGGCTGGCTTGTATTCTGAGGTCGTGCAATGACGATTCTCGTCTGAGTTTGAGGTCTCCGGACGCACTGCCGTTTCACGTCGTGATTCTCCAGTCATGGTTATCTAGGTTTTCATTCGAGTCCAGTTTTGATTCGATCGCCATACAAGCTCGATGAAGTTCTGCGAAGATCAAGCAGTGCAACGCTCGTAATGCGAGTTTCGAGAGTTTTGTACGTAGTTTACACACACATTGTATATTGTCCTGGAGTTGACAAGAGCCCTTGTGCAGTTCTTGATTCATCAATGACCTACATGGCATTCGTGAACTCCTTTGTGGATCCTAAATCCCGAACCCTGGGAGGGTGTGATACAGCGCGTAGAGCAAGTTCATAGTACAGTAGTGCAACTTTAGATTCGTTGTTGCCAATATCGAGTCATGGTCGGGAAGATGCCTATATCATCTTCAGCAAGGAGACCGGCAAAAGTGGAAAGGAGAGCGGAGGATACGAACTTTTGTGCATGGTGACATAATGCAACATAGTCCACCGAGTGCAGAAATGGCGGAGGCAATCTCCTCAAGGTTCTCGATGAAATGGTGAGAATGTTCGGGAAGAACGAAATAGAACTACCCATGAACCGAAATTGGAAGAGACTCTCATGTCGTTTGACTCAATCGGGTTGCACCGAAGAAAGACCTTGGGCATGTTCTGATCCCTCCAAGTCCCGAGGGGCAGAATGAAGACTTCCGTTCAGAGCAAGTTTCAGGTCCAACAATGTCCATTGCAGTCGCATGGTCTTCGATAAAGGCGGATCTCTCCAAATGCCATTTCGTCGAATCCTTCCACATTTGACTCGCGTGAGCTTCATCTTCGTCCATTGGCGCAGACTTTTGCTGAATGAAAGAGAAGAAGGAGAGATTTGGCAGTCTCCGACTCACCGATCGCAACCGCGTACGTTTGAGACTGTGCCTGCGTTCTTACGTATCCAACTGCGTACCGTGTATTGGATGGAGTAGTGCTCGCAGTAGGCGCTGCCGCCCCCTGACCTGATAGAACACCTGAAGGGCATATCCTTTGTACAGATGAAATCCTTCTGTCAACTATATATTGTTATGCCTTGATGAATGAAGTGGGTGATGTTGCACTTCATCCATATCTTGAGCATAAACTTCACTCCAAACAAACAACAATTGGATCTATGCTTATTTGTATGTTTTCTTATTGACATATAATAGACAAGCCCACCAGCCTATTCAATTTGAGTGTTGAGCTTTATGATAATCTATGTAATTTTCATTGATAGGTCAAATTGGTGATTCAAATTTAAACAAAAATTTCAAATCTCATAGTTCAGACTATATGAATATGGATGTATGTACTTGATGGTATCCCATAGGAACCTAAATTGCTTGATGGTATCCACCGGCACACTTTCGCGAAGTTTTTAGAACATATACTTGTACACATATGATGCGAGCTTTAGTGAAACTCTAACTATCGATACTAACTTCGTATTCTTTGAGGTGATTATTCACCTACAACATTATAAGGGCTTACAACTTGTAGTGGCAATACAAATCTATATTTTCTCACCTTTGTTGACTCATGCTCTGGTTATTCATGTTGAAATTAGTCCAACATAACACGTTTGAGTACAAGTTTGAAGTTTTGCTGATATATTGACAGTTTCAAAATATGGATTGTCACTTCTCCCATCAGAATTCTCATACATGAAATCTACAATTTTTGCAGCTGCTCATCTTTTGCGTGTACATGCATTGTGTCCTAATTGCTTACATTTGGAACACTTAATTGTTGTCTTATCAACCTAGTTGTTCATTGTCGACGTTTTCTTGTCGGTTTTACAACTTGTAATTTATGATCACCAGTTAAAGGTTTTTGCATCCCAACATCATCACAAAAGGATAACTTAAAAAAAAATTGATCACCCTCTCTGTAGAACTCGTCAAGTCCAAGGTTTGATGAAACTTTGCGTATGACTTTACCACTGTCAATTTTCACAACCCAATGACGATCTATCACTGCATTGGCACATAGATAAAAAATCTCATGAGCATTCAAATGAATATTCATTAAAGTTGAAATTTTTTTAGCATGTAACATACGCAAATATTCCGTTTTTCAACAACATTGAAAATGTCTGTGAAATTTTTTGACTTTTTTATCATTCTATGTCATGAGGTGTTTGCGTAGCCAGATATACATTGTACCAAATATCTGTTAGAAAATTTAAAATATAATCCCATCTATTAACTTTTGATCGTCAAAAGTTATTAGATTTTTTCTTTATTGAACTTCTTCCGGATATAATATCACAACAAAACAATTAATTTGAAAAGTGTGTATTTTTGTATCTCCATCAAACCTAAATTAATATGTTTGACACAATTAAAAGTCACCTTGCCTAATCATGAGAGCGGAATTGCATGTCTAGATCATAGTTTGGCATCTATCTTCCTATATAATGCAAATTAGCTCTCATTTTTTTTGTGATAATAAATTCAACAGTTTTTCAAACTGAATCTTTGTTTCAGCATATATCACGGCTCAAAAAAAATCTTCACAATATTTTTCAAAATCTATCTAATGTTGCTTTCAAATCAAAAGCACAATTATCATGTATAGAACACTAAAACACATATTTCACTATAGCTAAAAGTAACTTCTACCTATCAAAAATTAAATAAATATTTGTATCAAATAAAATTATTACGTATATCAAAAGTAAAGTGCAAAGTTACGTTCAATTTTCAATGTTCTCAATAGATGCCAGCGCAAAACAAAGAATCAACACTTTGTTATTCATGTCAAGAGCAGTGGCCATGAAGAGTTGAGAGTAAAACTTCATGTTTTTCGTGTGGCATGCATTCAAGTTAACTTGTGGCTAATAGTATTTCATTGCATTGTGTGTCGCTCAAAGTAAAATAAATGCATGTTGAAAAATTGTAAAATTGAATTATGTTGATCAATTGACTACATTGTCTGAATTTTCTTCTTGAATCTTTGACATCAAAGCCGGAATCATGTGAAAAGATTTTTGATGTACTCTTAAATACAAGTTTTTCATCATATCCTTAACTTGCCACATTTGTTGGTATTTTGTGTTCTACTTATGATTTCTTTGAATCCACTCACTAGTTTTCTAACAGTTACATCAATATTGCGCACAATCCTATTTACTATTGTCCCACCAAGCCATTGCGAAGCATGTGTAGGACCTCTCCACATATTCTTGTGTCGTAGACATGTATGTTGAACATTTGATATTGTGATAACAAATGACTCTTTTGCAATGCGTTGGCAGTGCATTCTAAAAGTACATGCCTTTGTGAAACTAGATACTTTATCTAGCAGTAGATCTAATTTATCACAAACTCTAGTCACAAAATATCAACTTTTTTTTTTACACAACATCACGTCGCCGGTCCAAAGTTACCTAGTATTCATTTTGAATTATGCTCTACAATTGAAGTTGAACAATGGAATATATATTTGCTACATTGTTTAACAATACTTGTGTGAACTCCGAAGAAACTCTGTTGTTTGTCGCATGTTATCTTAGCTTGATTTTTTTTGCGGCTGTCTTCGTAGCCTGTACATAGACAAGCGTAGTGGTAGTAATCGTGGGAGAGTTTTTGGTTGTGGTTGAACTCTTAACTTGTAGAGTTGAAACTTTCTTGTTCTGAGTATTTTCAGTTAGTACAACTTTCTTCTTCCCAAATAAAGGTTTGACTTACTCAACACTTACACAATACACTTCAATTTGATCTTGAATTTATGATATGATGTATTGTAACATTAGGGTTTAGAGAGAAGCTCACTTTAAGATAGAAACAAAAATTTTGAAGATGAGAGATCCCAACAATGGTTCTCTTCTTCCTTATAAAGTGTAATCATCTTTAGTTAGTTAGAACTAAAGTAGAGGTTACTCTGAATATTGATGTAGATACTTTAGTGTGCACTAGTCATAGCTGCCACGTCAGCGATCCGCGCACTTGGTAGGTACAGAGTGGACGTGTTAGTTGACAGTGCCACGTCAGCAATCCGTGTGCTTGTAGGTAAGGATTGAGTGTGTTAGTTAGTGTGTTAGTTGGGTGCGCCACGTCAGCGATCCGTGTGCTTGTTAGGGTTATCCGCCACGTCATCCATCCACTAGGAGTGGTATGGATGGTGGGGATTAGATCTTATCACCTTGTACTTGTTGGTGAGAGCTATATAAGGGAGAGGAGAACCATTGTTGGTATCTCTCATCTTCAGAGTTTACGTTTCTATCTTCGAGTGAACTTCTCTCTAAACCCTAGTGTTACAATGGTATCAGAGCGACCTTGCTCTTTCCTTGAGTGTGGATTACCCCTCATGGAATAGCAAGTGAGTGATGATGGAGTGTAGTCTTGAGAGTGTATAGAGGCTGGCAGAGGTCATTCATCTACATGTAGAGAGAGGTGGAAGGGGGACATTGTGTTTTTGCAGATATGGACGGGATTGACAGGAATCCAGTACCGCACTGGCCAATTCCTAACCTATTCGATATTCACCTTCGTTGCATGGAGAAACATCATTTTCGGATGTACCTTGTGGCTTGTTGGGGTGCAGATTTTATGACTAGAGTGATGGAGTCAAGAGTGCCACTGATTCTTCCAATAGTTACTTATGGAGAGACTTGGGATTGTACTATATACATTCTATACTGATTGTTTCATGGATTGAATCGCGAACCACCTGTC